GGGATCCTCCCAACCCAGGGATCAAACCCAGGTCTCTTAAGTCTCTTGCCTTGGCAGGAGGGTTCTTTACCACTGTATGTTTTATGTTGCTTCAGTCATGTCCAATTCTTTGCAACCCTATGGACTACAGCCCACCAGGCTCCTCTGTCCATGGGATTCTCTAGGCAAGAATACTGGAGTGCGTTGCCATGCCTTCCTCCAGAGGATCTTCCCAACCCAGAGATTGAACCTGCACCTCTTAGGTCTTCTGCATTGGCAGGCAGGTTCTTTACCACTAGCACCACCTGGGAAGCCCCTGGCTAAATGACTACCATCATATTGCTTCATCACTCTGTGCCTCAGTTTCCTCATCTGTAAAATGAGAGTGATGTTGCATCTATTGCTTAGGGCTGCTGGGAGGAACAAATGAGAGCATGGATTTGCAGGACCTGACGTGATTTAAGAGCCAAATAAAAAAGTTACAGCCGTGCTGCTCCACAGGCGTGGATTTGGACTCGAAAAGAGGCTGACCAGATGTTTGTCAGAAGGCGAGCCGATCAGCCAGGCTGTGTCATTAGTGTCCTCCAGGGCGGCCGACCAGTGTCCTCCACCTCCAGGCAGGGAGGCAGCCCCGGGGTGTGAGTGCCTGGAGCGCACACGGGAGCCCACACTGCTCTGTCCCCTGTCCTCAGCCTGACTCCAGCCCCCAGGACAGCTCTCATCCCCCATCTGCACCCAGCACAGGTAAGAGAGGCAGAAGCCAGGTTTGGGGTCATCTGAACTTGGAGGTAGGTAGGTAGTGGGAGGACGTAGGTGTAGCAGTGGATGTCGCTGTGACGTGGAGACTTCCTCCCGGCAGAAACTCATCAAGGATGTGCCTCCTCGACTGAGCTCCCAGCAGCCAGGATGGGCCGTGGCCTGGCCTCCGGGAAAGAACAGACTCCCCACAAGATGCACAGCCTTGCCCCTACCAGAGAGGAAGGCAGAATCAGACAGGGGAGCTTGGCTTGCACTTATCTCTCGGCTCCTGGAGGAGGAAATGAAGGCAGCAATTAATTGTACAAGGCGGGTGGTTTGTGCAGCTTAAGTTCAGATAAAAAGTTTAATTATCCCTAAGCCCTAATACAAATTAATTAGCCTTCCATATTAGGAGGGTAAGCTTTCCTGCTCTTGCCACAGCCCAGACATCACTGCGGATTACCGAGGATGTGCTGGGGGGGAAGCAGCGAGCCCAGAACCCCGCCAGGTCAGCAGCAGACCGCTGGCTCCATCCTGGCCCCAGCTGAGGGCTGTGGGAGGGTCCTAAGTCTGGGGTGAGCACCACAGCCCCCCTGTATCTGGTGTGTCACCTCCAGGAGAGGCTTTTCTTGTCCCTTATTTTTCTCCACCCTCAGAGCCACAGTGGGGGATGGAGGAGGGGAGTCCTTATTTGCCTGAAAGACAGAAAGAAAATAAGGCTATGGCTTAGAAAAATTTTTTCTAGGCCATGACATTTTCTGTTTTTTTCTTTCTTCACCCTTTCCTTCCTCGAAATTCCACGGAGAAAATAGGCCATCGTGGCCATAAGGACTTAGAGAATCACTATTAGCTCCAGCACATCAGTGTTCCTGACCAAGGGGCCCCAGGAGGGTCTGCAGGCGGGACAAGGGGCACTGCCCATCACGATCATCACAGTCCTAATAGCTGTTACCTAATGAGTGTTTACTAAGTAACAGGAATGAATTTCATCTTTGCAACCATATTGCAAGGAATGTTTTCTTCATTAACTCACACATTCGATCAACATTTATTGAAGTGATTTGAGCAAGGGAATGACACGCTTGGATCTGCATTTTAAGACTGTGGTTCTTTGTGAATTAAAGGAGAACAAAGCGTAAGTGAGGTGTCTGGTTAAGGGGCTTTCACAGAAGTTCAGTCTAGAAACCACAGTGGCCTGGACCCAGGGTTTATTTAATAAACGTCTATAAAGTTCTTAATATGTGCCAGAATCGAGCCTTTTACAAATGGTAACTCATCTAATCCCTCGCAACAGCCCTGTGAAGTAGGTACTATTATATTATCAGTCCCAGGAAACAAGATAAAGTAATCTGCACAAAATTCACCCAGCTCACAAGTGATAGAACCAGGACTTGCCCCAGATAGTCTGCTGCTCAGAGTCCACACTTTTAACCACTATGTTATGCTGCTGCCTCTGAGGGAGCAGAGATGGCTGAGAAGGGGGTCGGCTCCAGCTGACCCCTCAGAGCCTCTCCCACCACCACCCTCTCCCTCGCACAGCCTCACCCACTCCCCTGGAGAAGCAGGATCTCACAGACAGAGCAGGACAATGTAAACAGACCAGCCTGGGTTTTACCCCAGGCAGTTTTGCCTCTGCCTACCTGAGGACCTTTAACAATTCACTGTCCTCTCATCTCTAAGGAGGGTTAAGCTTACTTGGCAGGGCTTTCGTGTGATCCAGTGATGGCAAAGTGCCTAACATATGCCCCAGTACACTGTTCCCTTTCATCTTTCCATTCTCCATCCCTACTTCTTTAAGCCAAACGATCCCGTTCCTTTGATTGTTTCCCCTATGAATTCCAGAAAATTCATCATCTCTCCCTCTCCTTTCTGGACATGACCCAGTTAATCAATGCCCTATAGAATACGTAGTGCCCAGAACTCCACACAGCAGCCGAGAAGCGGTCTGCACCAAGGAGCAGAATCCAAGCACCCACTCCTTTTTTCTGGTCCGTGTACTCCCTTCTGTCCAGCTCAAGGCAGCGTTAGGTCTTGAGCCGCTGCGTTACACTGGTGGCTGTGTTAAAGTCAATTCCCTCAGTGATTTTTAACTTGGATGGCTTTTAAGCTGCTCTCTCTCATCAGCTATACAAGTCATTGATTATTTGAACCAAAATGCTGGTGTTGTCATTTATCTTTGTTGAAATTAATCTGGTTGATTTCACCCATGATTACAATCTGCTAAAAATCCTTTTGACTCCTAAAGACCTCAATTTATAGTAGTGCTGTCATTTAGAAATTTGAAGAGCTTGATTAAAAACAATCAACCCTGGCAGCTCAGCTGGTAAAGAATCCACCTGCAATGCAGGAGACCCTGGTTCAATTCCTGGGTCAGGAAGATCCGCTGGAGAAGGGATCGGCTCCCCGCTCCAGTGTTCTTGGGCTTCCCTTGTGGCTCACTGGTAAAGAATCCCCCTGCCATGCGGGAGACCTGGGTTCAGTCCCTGGGTTGGGAAGATCCCCTGGAGAAGGGGCTGGCTTACCCACTCCAGTTTTCTGGCCTGGAAAATCCCATGGACTATACAGTCCATGGGGTCACAAAGAGTCGGACACGACTGAGTGACTTTTCACTTTCACTTTCATAGCCACATCATCACCAGCATCATCATCATTGTCATTGTCTCGGGATCCAAATGGAAGAAGGTTAAACAAAAGCAATAACTTGTTGGTGTGCAGAATCAAAAGAAGGCTTGCACAACTTAACCACAAGAAAGGCAAAAGTAAAGCTGATCCTCTCCAGGAATTAGAACAGGAACTCAGACCTCCACTAGATTTCCCTTTTCATCTCTCATCTCTTTCTGCTGTCAGCCTGCTTCATTTCTAACTACAATCTGGCTTTTCCCCATGGCAGAAAGCATGGCAGCCAATAACTCCAGAGCTTTTTAAGTTGAGTTTCAGCTTCTTTGAAAGAGATTGATCTGGTCTCAAGGGTAAAAATCCAGGGGAGGGAAAAAGTTGACCAATACCATCAGCCAACAGTATAAATGCAAATCAAACTCACAGTGAGAAACTAAAACGAGGGTTACCATATGATCCTGCAATTTCATTCCTGGGCATAAATCTGGAGAAAACGCTAATTCAAAAAGATGCACACACTCGTGTTCATAGCAGAACTAAATGTCCATTGATAGATGAATAGGTAAAGAAGATGTGGTGTGTGTATATATATATATATATATAATGGAATATTACTCAGTCATAAAAATGAATGAAATAATGTCATTGGCAGCAACACAGATGGACCTAGAGATTAACATAGTAAGTGAAGTAAGTCAAACAGAGAAAGACAAATATCATATAATACCACTTATATGTGGAATCTAAAAAAAATGATACAAAAGAATTTATTAATAAAACAGAAATAGACTCACAGACATGGAAAGCAAACTTAACGGTTAATAGAGGAGATAGTGGAGGGTGAAGAAGAAAAGACAAATTAGGAGTTTGGGATTAACATATACATACTACTATGCATAAAATAGATTAAAAAAACAAGGACCTACTGCATAACACAGAGAACTACATTCAATATCTTGTAATATCCTATGAGAAAAGAATCTGAAAAAAAATGTACAATATATATATATATATACACATACACACACATATAATTGAATCACTTTGCTATACATCTGAAACTAATACAGTGCTCGCTTCAGCAGCACATATACTAAAATTGGAATGAAACTAATACAACATTGTAAATTAACTATACCTTAACTATACCTCATTGTAAATTAACTTTACCATTTTAAAAAATGGGTAAAAAAGGAAAAAACCATGAGATACCACATCACACACACTAGGGCAGCTAGAATCAAAAGATAAAGGGTAACAGTATTGGTGAAGATATGGAGAAATTGGAACACTGATTTATTGGTAGTGGGGATGTAAAATGGTACAATTCCTCCAACTGCTAAACATAGTAACCACATGTCCAAAATAAGGAAATCCATGGAGGCAAAGAGTAGATTTGTGGTTGCCTAGGGCTGAAGGGTGGAATGTGGAATGATCACTACAGGATGAGTACTAAGTTTCTATTAGGGGTGTTGAAAACGCTCTAAAATGCTCCCCAGTGGGAGCAGGGATATTGGGGAAGGCTTGTAAGAATATAGCAACTCCTCTGAGACCCTGCTGTTCTGTACAGAGTTTATGTCATAATGGGAAAGGGGAGGGGAGGGGATCAGTTCCTATGAGTGAGTAAGATATTAGCAGACGAAATATTGGATGCCCTCCGCACTGGCTATTCATAGAGAATTTACATTTACCCAGATAAAGCATCGAGGGCTTCTTCTGAATTATCTCATTAATTATCACAACAACCTTGTAAGTTAGGTTTATAAAACCCATTTGTATTGGTAGAGGCTCAGGTTACGTAACTTCCCCAAGGACATTTAACTATTTAGTAAGTAACATTTGGCTCTGGTTCAACCCCAGATCTGAAGCCAGTCTCCTTTCTCAATCATTAGGCCACACTGCCTCCTTCTGGCTCAAAATGAGTTGGTTAAAAAATTCTGGAATGCACCAGTGGAGACCTGAATTTAGATCCCGTCTTCATTTCATTTGCTTATTACTCTCTCACTGAAGGACACCCTTCTAACATGAAAACCAGGAACTTCCTTCGCTGTCCTGGGACCACTGTTGGTCGTCTTTTTTTGTTGTTGGTGGTGGTGGTCATCTTTGAGAAGGGCCGGAGGATTCGAGATGGTTGCTCAGTGCCTGCCAGCCACGCTGCTGTCCCCTCCCTGTTCCTCCAGCTCGCCCAGCGTGTAGAGAACTGGGCAGGAACACGCCTTGCTGCAGTCACGATGCAGTCCGTCTGTAGCCGGTTAACCCTCTCAAAACAGGAAATAAGGGTCATCTGGCAAGATGTGTGCTTAGTGAACCAATGCGGCTTATTTTCCAAGTGCTCGCAAGCTGTCCACTTAATAATCCACTCTCAAATTCTGCCAGGAATTGGTTGACAGAATCGATGGATGCCAAGCCTGCTGGTCTGTGGCTCCTTAGACCTTCTTTCCCCTTCTTTAAAGATACCGATTCTTTAGCCTCCTGGGATTTCTCTGCAACATCATGACTTCTCAGCCATCATGAGCAGTGGTTCTACAACACCATCTGCACATTCCTCCTGTCTCCTGCAGTAGGATCCAGGTGGGCCTGCGATGGGAATCCACTGAAGACAGCTGGCCACTTGCCTGCTCTCCACTCCCCTGCTTCAAGCTCTGGATACTTTTTTCCCACATGTGTCCCTGCCTTCCCAAGATAAAGCAGGTTCTCCTTCGTGGAGAAGGCAGAAAGTGCATGGGAGTTGCATTGGTCAGCTTTCTCTCTATCGTCTGTTCCAGCAGACCATCTGCCCAGCAGATGAGTAACTTTCCTTTCAGTGGCGAAAACAACCTCCCTGTTGTCCTTAGCATTTTTCACAACCTCAATCACTGAAATGTAGCCTTCCTGACACTGTTCTTACAAACTCCCACCATGCCTCATTTTCACCCATGGTCATGTACCTAATGTCCACCTTTTCAATCATATTATCTAAAAATTTCTCCATCACTTGGACGGTTAGGACTTGGAACAATCAGCTCATCAGCAACAGAGACCATAGTTTTCAGAATGCTTAGGTAAAAGTAAATCTATTTATTGTTTGTAGAGCAGTATACGTCACAATGGGGCTTCTCAGGTGGCTTAATGGTTAGGAATCTGCCTGCCACGCAGGAGACATAGGTTCAATCCCTGGGTCAGGAAGATCCCCTGGAAAAGGAACTGGCAACCTGCTCCAATATTCTTGCCTGGGAAATGCTATGGACAGAGGAGCCTGCCAGGCTACCGTCCATGGGGTCACAAAAAAGTCAGACATGACTCAGCAACTAAACAACAACAAATACGTCACAACAGAATTATGACCTTGGTTACTTATTATCTTCATTTTTGAGACAAGGAAACTGAGGCCCATGGTCACATTCCCCCACAGTCACACTGTGATTTCAGGTGGAGCTAGGGGAGTCTTATCAGAGCCAGGTCTGGACCACTTCACTGGAAGCCACTCCTGAGCATCATGGCGGAGAAGGCAAACCTAGTATCAATGCTCCCAAAGGAGCGCTCAGTGGTGTGACTGAGACAGCTTGAGCCAGAACAAAGGGCCTCGACACTGAAGAAGAAGGAAGAAGGGTGTTAAGAATCTTAAATGGGGTCATTCATCCAAGTATGTGTCAGCCATGGCACACCTTTGACCAAGCCCTCAGGGTTAGGGGTGAGAACTTCACGGTTCTGCAGTGGCTCCCCCATCGCCTTCCACAGTCTTTCTGGACCCCAGGACACCTGGGTCCCTCAGGACAAGTGACTTGGAGCCTCACAATTTCAGTAGCAACAATTCCAGGTCACCCTAAGGCTGTTTCTGCTCCGGACACCCAGACGGCACAGAGGTGGGAGAGGTGGTGGTTCTGGCTTTGGCCAAAGGAGTCATCACAGTTCTTTACTTAACGTGGCCTTTCAATGATCTCAATAAAGAAGAGGCTGAACACTTGACTGCAGCTGAGCATATCCTATTGATTGGAGGAGAAGGCTCTGGCCTGTTTGCCTGGGGTTGAGCAGGAGCCAGGCCAAGCCGGTCCCAGGAGGTGGCTGCCGGGGTGTGAAGTACTTAGGAGAGTTTCTCTCAGCTCTGAGAGGGGCTGGCACTGTCCCAAAGTGTCTTCACAGCTTAAGGGACTGAGTTCCGGAGCTCATAGACCCCTTTAAGACAGTGGGATGAGGTGAAAAGACGAGAAAGCAGGAGGTGTGGGTTTTGCTCCCAGCTGTACCCAAACATGAGCAACCCACTTCATGCCCCTGAGCCTTGATTCCTGCATCTGTCCAGTGGTCATCGGGGTTCCAAGTTCACGGGGTTCGTGGAGCTTATGTGAGTCACATGTGTAAACGTGCTTTGTGAATTATAAGTTTTCACATAAACAGAAGGAGGTTTACTCTTCGTTATTTTTATTACCATAAGAGAAATCGTGTTGTTCTGCTTGAAACTTGTCCATGGCTCCCCTTTGCACTTGGAATGGAACCCGTGCTCCTCTTCGGGGGCCCCTGGACCCCGCATGGTCGGCACTGCCTGGCCCCCACCTGCCGCCTCAGTCTCCTTTTGTAGAACTCCCCACCTGCCCTATGTGCCGGTCCTGCTGGCCCTTTCATTGTTCTGAGAACAGGTCAAGCCCCTTCCTACCTCAGGGCCTCCGTCCTGTCTGTTCCCTCTGCCTGGTAGCTCTGCCCCAAGTGTGTAGCATGGCTGGATTCTTTACCTTCAGGTCTTAACTTAAATGTTGCCTCCTCAGGGAGGCCTTTCTGACCACACTTCCCCAACAGTGCACTGCACCATCTCTATTCTTTCCCTGGCAAGAGCCAGAAGTTACAATGTTTTTATATATTCACTTAAGTGTTATGGTCTTCCCCTGGAAGGAGGCTGTCTCTGTGAACATAAGGACCTTGTCTGTTTTGTTCACTCACAGAGCGTATCATAGTACCTGACACATAGTTCAGTTCAGTTCAGTTGCTCCGTCGTGTCCGACTCTTCGAGACCTCGTGACTGCAGCCCACCAGGCTCCTCCATCCATGGGATTTTCCAGGCAAGAGTACTGGAGCGGGGTGCCATTGCCTTCTCCAGCCCGACTCTTTGTGATGCTATGAATCACAGCACACCAGTCCTCCCTGTCCACCACAAACTCCCGGAGTTTACTCAAACACATGTCCATCGAGTTGGTGATGCTGTCCAGCCATCTCATCCTCTGTCGTCCCCTTCTCCTCCTGCCCCCAATCCCTCCCAGCATCAGGCTCTTTTCCAATGAGTCAACTCTTCCCATGAGGTGGCCAAAGTATTGGAGATTCAGCTTCAGCATCAGTTCTTCCAATGAGCACCCAAGACTGATCTCCTTTAGGATGGACTGGTTGGATCTCCTTGCAGTCCAAGGGTCTCTCAAGATAGCAGGCACCTAAATAACTGTCAGATGAATGAATGAATGAATGAATGGGTGAATGACTACCAGGGGAGCCTGATTGTTTCCCAAATGGCCCCTCTTCCTTACACCTGCTTGTCTTCGTCTTTCAGATATGGAGACATGGTACCCAAGACGATTGCAGGAAAGATCTTTGGTTCCATCTGCTCGCTGAGCGGTGTCCTCGTCATTGCCCTGCCGGTCCCTGTGATCGTTTCCAACTTCAGCCGGATTTACCACCAGAATCAGAGAGCGGATAAACGCAGAGCACAGAAGGTAAGCCTCAGACCTGGAAGGGGGTGGGCCACACCGAGAGGGTGCCCTTGGCCTTGTGCCTCGTCACACAGAGCTCATGGGAGAATCCCTGCACAGACGGCCTCTGGCTTTGGAAGGTAAGCAACCCTAGGTGCCGCCCCACCTACCAGTGTCCTGCATGCCAACCGCGGTCAGCTGCGCAAAGCTACAAACTCTCAATTACCCACAAGCCAATGTTTCTGTGCAATTTCCTTGGCCCCTGGCCACCCTTCCTAGACCGCAGCTACTTACATTGGGCAGCGCCTGGACTCCTCCCTTCCGCAGCCAAGAGCTTGCTGGGAAGCATAATCACTTTTCAGTACCCTGTAATAGCCTATACCAAACAGAGGGACAAAAATAAATTTGCTAAAAAGAAAAGTGAATACTCTGAAAGGAGAACATTCTGAGGCCATTGAGTTCAGGGACAAATTGCACAGCGGGCTTTAGTCACCTCAGGGTATCGTAGGATAGGGCATAGAACTGCCCTTGACAGTCGGGAAACTAAGCATGCATCCTGAAAAGGTTTCCAGTGATGTCCAGTGAGCATGCCTTAGGGAGGCCAGGCAGGGCGAACAGGATGAGGAAAGATGTCTGAAAGTGTTGGTGCCCAGAGAGAAGCCTCCTTTCCTGACGGGCCTCCACCTCGTGCTCTCAGTCAGCTGTAGTTCACCTGCATTTTTTGGACATCTGGCTGGTGAAGGACTTGGACCCAGGGAGCAGTTTTTCCTTTCTCTTCTGATCTATGCTGAAATACTCCCCCTTCAGCAGCATCTCAACCTCCAGTGGGGTACCATCAAAGCCTTTATGGGTACAATGGAGTGGGAGGACCTGAAAGAGTCACTTAGGGAGGCCTGAAACGTTATGTCCTTATTGTATTCTTTCTTCATTCATTCATTCCACACATGTTTACTGAGCACCTACTATGTGCCAGGCCCCATGATCTGCAGCTAGGTTACTTCCTCACCACGTGAGCCTCTCTTCTGGCCTTGCTTTTGCAGAAATAACCCCCCAGTGACGGGGCTTCCTTGACATATCAGAGGGATCCAGAATTTCAGAACACATCTGTGTATGCTGACTGAAACGAAGTCTCAAAGTTCATGAAAGTTAACTCTGAAATGTATAATGATTTGCATGTAACAATACTTAATGGGGGTTTCCCTGGTGTCTCACTGGTCAAGAATCTACTGTAATGCAGGAGACCCAGGTTTCACTTCTGGGTCGGGAAGATCCACTGGAGGAGGAGATGACAATCCAGGCAACCCACTCCAGCATTCTTGCCTGGGAAATCCCATGGACAGAGGGGTCTGGCAGGCTATAGTCCATGAGATAGCAAGAGTCAGACACAACTTGGCGACTAAACCACCACCATACTTAATATATATCACAGTTATATAATAACTCCAGTTGGTCCCCACTTCCAACATCTCCCCTTTTGTGTGCCCCTGTGGTCATCTCCTTGCCCTACTGTCTCCCTCTGCCTGTGCAGTGATATACTTTGACTTATCCTGACTGGGGTCTGTGATGTTGTCAGCCTGCCTTGGGTTGATCTACAGTCCTCTCCATCCCCTCCAGCACCAGTTTCTACCTCTTCACCCAAGGTCAGGGCTTCCCCACCCCCATCCCCTGAGAGCCAGCCCCAAAATAGAAGTTTTATCTCTTTCCCCATTCAAGTCAGCTGGCAAGTGTGAGCAATATCTACATTCATTATGCTGTCCTTAAAAACGGGGCAGGAAGAAACTGGGATCTCCTTTCTAAACCAAGGAGCCTAAAGCCCTGAAGGGCCAGGGGTCCTATAGCAATGGCAACACCAGCCCCCCACTACCCACCGCACCCACCAGGGCTGACACGGGGTGTTTGAAGAGCAGTAAAGGTTCCTGGAATCCTCAGCTCTGATACCAGCCCACAGCAGCCCCACTCAAGCAGGGCTTCAGCCGCCCCTGCACCCCCTTCCCTTCTGTGCTCACGCCCTTACCTGCTTCTTAGAGCATCGTGTCCGCTGTCATTTTGCCCTCTGCAAAGAATGCTGTGGGGCCATTTCTCCACACAACTTTACAGAGTTCATCCCATGTGATTAGGATACACGAGGAATCAGCCTGGGCATCTTCCTCCTTCTAGCCCCTCAGGAGAGAGTCCCTCCCTCTGCTTCCCTCCTCCCTCTCCCTCTTTGCTTTCCCTGGAAATCAAAGTAAATATTCATAGTGTTTTCATCTTGCCTGGATACTGTCCCTTCTCATGGTCCACTCAGCTCTGTCTCTTTCACCTTGGGCTTCTTGTGAGAAGGGAAAAAAGACACCACAAGAATACTGCTTGCTTCCAGCCCCAGGTCTATCACAGCAGTGAGGCAATGCAGACAGGTCAGGGGACTCAGTGGGGAGTGGAGAGATGGGCCAGGAAGGGGGTCTGGGGAGCTGATGACAGCTCTCAGCTCAGACCACATACTCAGGAGTCATGAGGGTAAGCACTAGCCCGTGTGCCTCGGGTGGAAATGAAAGGACCAAAAAGTTGTCATCCTTTCCCATCATGACTGATTTGCTTGGGATTATTGATGAAAGGACTCCATGACTCTTTGCTACAGAGACTGGGTCCTTTAAGCCAGGTGAGCTGGAGATCAAGTAAGGAGGCAGTGGACAGAGAGAGGGGAGCATCTGAGTGGGGATTTTTATTGGAATAAGTATAGATATATATGTAGCTATAAAATTATCATATCCAATGCATGGACATTGACATAGCTACAACCCACCAAGCCTATTCAGACTTGCCCAGTTTTGCTTGCACCCATGTGTGCCTGTGTGTGATGTTTTATACAGTTTTATCACCTATGCAAGATCACACATCCCCCACCTCAGTCAAGATACCACGCAGTTTCAATACCACAAGGATCCCTGTATCTCTTATAACCACTCCCCACAACACACCTCCACCCTGTCTGTAAACCCTGGTAGCCATTTATCTGTCCTCCCTTAAGAAAATGTTTTCATCCTTTAAATGGTATATTAATGGGCTTATATAGTAGGTAACCTTTGGAGATTGGCTTTTCCCATTCTGTTGTAATTTCCTCGAGATTCATCCAAGTCAGGTGAATCAGTAGTCTGTTCTTTTTCTTTGCTGAGTAGTATTCCCTGGTATGGGTGCATCCCAGTCATGATTAACAATTTGCATGTTGAGGGACATTGGGTTATTATAAGTAAAGCTGCTGTTAACAGCCACTTGCAGGTTTGTGTGTGAACATAACTTCTTTTCTCTGAGATAAATGCTTAAGAGTACAATTGCCCATGGTTTCTTTTGGCTTTTCCAATTCTCTTTCTTCTTCTGCCTCTCCCAGGGCAGAGATGTCGATACTCATGCTCCAAGGATGCCTGGCAGCCAGGCAGCTAGGAAGTACTTCATCGTGAAAGTTCTTCCAGGGGCCCACAGAATTCTTGAGCTTATTAGCTTGTACCAGGAACTGTCCCCAGGGTGGCAAGATCCTCCATCCTGACCTCTCCTCCAAACCTGGAATCTCTACAGCTGTTGAAAATGCAAGTTTTGGGCTTTGCTCATCAGGTTAAAACTTGCCTGAACAGAGCTGAAATTTAGGGAAGGAGAGGGATGTTATGGAAGCAGCATTGGCCTGAAGGTTGGAAGATCTGAGCTGAAGTCTGGCCCTGAAAAAATCCCTTCCCCTCACATCCTCCATTTCCTTGTCTTTATCTTTTTTTTTTTTTTTTCATTTCTTTGTTTTTAGAACAGCCTCAATGATCTCCACATTCTTTTAACTCTCACACTATACTTCTGGCCATAGAAGAGAGGGAGGTTGACCAGCCCACACAAGGACTGAGTCCATCACAATGGCTTTTTTAATGTGGATTTCTGGCCACGTGTGTAGGGTCATCTTCCTTGCTGGGCTATCACAAGCCTCACTTGAGCAAATACTCAGTGCAAAGCTCTGTGCTAGGTGCTTAAGATAAAAATACCCATAAATCACAGACTCTGGCCCTCAGGAGCTTAAAGTCAAGCCAAAGTCCTCACCAAATTACATGTGCTGGGTAGTGTTCTGTAAATACATTGCAGGCCTCTTTATCCTGTGTGGGAAATGATTAAACGATATAGTGCATTTGATATGACAATCTGTTGCTTTAATAGAGCCCAGGGTAAGATAAGATTAAAAGAAGTGCCACAGAAGAGAGCAGGAGAATCTTTCATCTCAAGAAAGTAATGAAGACAGAGCCCAGATACAAGAAAGGTCTGGCTCTAAGTGGTGCAATCAAATTATATAAGGCTATAATGAGCTTGACACAATTGGATTTCCATATGCGGCTCTCAACACCCAGCACTCACCCAAAACAATAACAGCACATCCTCAAATGATGGAGGACTTGGATGACTGCAGGCATGGAGCTGAGGGGAGAGGTGGAGCCGGATCCCAGGGAGAAGAACTGTCCTGCAACTTGAATGCATGAACTTTGCTCAGAGAAAAGAGGAATGAGGGGCTTGCTTACCGCCCTTTCTCTTCCAGCTTCCTCTTTTCATTCTCGATCTAGAGGAGAGTTCTTTCTCAGATTTACAGGCAGATCTTCCAGGCTCAAGTGCTGACCTCTTCCCCATATTTAGAAACCAGGGAAGGTCGTTGACTTGTCCCTGCAAGGACATACTGGCCACAGGGGGACTTCCCAGGATACGATAGGTATCATGTGTTCTTCGTGCTTCTGTTGAGAGCCAGAAGCCAAGTCCCTGGCCTCCTTTTAGTAGATGAGCCAGACCAGCAGGACACTTGGAGGGGACACTTGCCCACGCTGGGGAGAAGGTGACAAGAAATGAAAATCACCACAACTTTTCAAGGATGCCTCTGTTCAGAATCCGTGCTGAAGTTAAGTGTGGATTTTCCCAGAGGCAGGAGGAAGGACCCCTCTGGCCTAGAATAGGGCTGTTAGTCCACGTGGGCTCCTCTGCTTCCTGGAGCTGGGTCTAGATCCACAAGAGCCCGAACGTGAAGCTGCATGTTTTTAAACCAGCAGAAAGCCCTCTAGCCATCTCTTCTCCCTCCCAAAGCCTCTTTCCTGTTAGGCCTCACTCTGCAGTTGTGCTGCTGTCATGGTGACACCGATTATGTTTATTGGGAAGGAGAAGAGAAGCCAGCCTGTGCAGCATGTCCCGCCTCTCCCACGGCCTCTGCAAGCAGGAGAGATGAGCATGCATGGCTGATGTCCCATGCAGTCTTCCCGTGGGATACTGCTGCAGGCCTCCCAGGATGGAGCTGGGGAGGTTTCCGGTGCCATAGCTAAGGCTGGGGCTTCCCTGGTGGCCCAGACAGTAAAGAATCTGTCTGCAATGGGGGAGACCCAGGTTTGATCCCTGGGTCAGGAAGATCCTTTGGAGAAGGGAATGGCTACCCACTTGAGTATTCTTGCTTGGAGAATTCCATGGAGAGAGCCGCCCAGCAGACTACAGTCCACGGGGTTGCAAAGAGTCAGACATGACTGAGCAACTAACATAGTTCAAGCCAAGGCAATGTATGGAAATATGTTCCATTTTGCCCTCTCTCACCCACATTGGGCCCCTTGTCACACATACATGCATCTACATTCATTCCCATAGACATGCACAACAAAACAGACATATAGAGACATACCCCAAAGACAGACACGCAACTGTAAATTCATCTATTGATTTACATCTTACTAGGCACTGGAGAGACACCAGTGAACAAAACAAAAACTGCGACCTTCGAGGAGTTTGTTTTTTTATTTATTGGGGTATACTTGCTTCACAACATTGTAACTAGTTTCTGCTGTAGAGTGAAGTGAATCACCCATTTGTATACACATTTCCTCTTCCTTCTGAATGTCCCTCCCATCTAGGTCACCACATCGCATTGAGTAGAGTTCCCCACACTATACCATAGGCTCTTGTGTGCATGCGTGCTAAGTCGCTTCAGTCGTGTCTGACTCTGACTCTGTAGCCCACCAGGCTCCTCTGTCCATGGGATTCTCCAGGCAAGAATACTGGAGTGGGCTGCCATGCCCTCTTCCAGGGGCTCTCCCCTACCCAGGGGTGGAACCCTCTATGTTGCCTGTATTGGGAGTCCGGTTCTTCCCTACTAGCACCATCTGGGAAGCTCTTACTAGTTATCTATTCCAGGCGTAGCAGTGTACACAGGTCACTCCTAAATCTCCCAGTTCATCCCACCCCCTTGTTTCCCTGCTTGAGGTCCATACGTTTGTTCTCTACATCTGTCTTTATTTCTGCTTTGCAAATAGGTTTATTTGTACCATTTTTCTAGATTCCACATGTATAGCCAGACCTTGAGGAGCTTTACATTCTGGTGGGGGAGAGAGACAGTAACAAGATAACTATATAAAACATATACCACCTTAGTAATGAATGCTAAGGAAAAAATAGAAAGATGGGGAGGAGTTGAGGGCCACATGTACACACTCCCTGATTTTCTCCTAATTAACTGGTATTTGGGCACCTGCTGAATGCAGGGAGAAACACTGGACCCTAGGATAGGATCAGGGAGCTCTGACATGTGCTCCTTGCAAGAGCCTGCAGTCTGGAGATGAGAAATACCCTGATGCAATACTGAATGGATAAAGGTCATGAAATTTGGGGGAAGGAGGGAGGACTTTGATGAGTAATAGTCCCCCTCACTCTTTGATCATCTCTGTCAATCACAGAAGGCCCGCCTTGCCAGGATCCGTGTGGCCAAAACTGGCAGCTCCAACGCCTACCTGCACAGCAAGCGCAACGGACTCCTCAACGAAGCGCTGGAGCTGATGGTAGGTGCCCCGAGGACCTGGGGCCGGGAGGTGGAAGGGAGGACGAACTTGGTTTCTCCTCCTGGGGGCACCAGCACTTCTGCCCCAAAGCCCCAGACTTTCCCCCAGTAGCAGCCCTCTCTACATTCCTCTTCCATAGGGTTATCACTGTATCCCTAAGCCAGCTTTAGCTTAGGTACCCCTAGCCAAACACTAACATGTTCTAGGGTGACCCTAAAAGTTGGTTCATCCAGATTTTTCTGGCCCCTCCTCCCTTCTGTGGAGAAATGAAGGAGATGGAGAGAAGGAGAGCCACCAGCTTTTCACTCAGTCTCTCTTCTTTTCTTCCTAGGGCACCCCAGAAGAGGAGCACATGGGCAAGACAACCTCACTCATCGAGAGCCAGCACCATCACCTGCTGCACTGCCTGGAAAAAACCACTGTGAGTCCCAGCCCAGTGCCACCTCCTTTCTCATCCCTGACCCCTGACCCTTTTCAACAGTCAGAACTTACAGAGTGTCAACTCTACCCACGTCCCCACCCTGGGCCCAAGCTTCAGAAGTCAAAGTCTGTCCCCTTAGAACAAAAGAGTAGCAATGAGGTCTCTATCAACCCTCAGAAGGAAGACCCCAAGGGTCGGAGGCCAGCTCTGCCTGCAGTGGCACAGAGGAGGCCATTCCCCTGGGCTTTCCACACAACCCCTCTATCTCCATCCCCATGGCCCATTTCTTAGTTACTGAGGCCTAAGGGCTGAGTCTGTCAGCTTCTCAGTTCTGATGGGCATCACTCTTCAAAAGTAGGGCCGAATTTATAACAGATTGCTACAGGACCGCAAAGAAGAACGTCAACTTCTGTCCCAACCCTGGGGCTAGATGGATGGAATTTGTGAGTCCCTCTGCTCCCTCCACTCCACTTGAAACAGGAGACAGTGAATGAAGGAGGCAGTGCATATATTGCTCTAGCCAGGGATTTTACCAGTACCACCCATCTTAGCCACCCTGCAATTCTCAGGGAATTCAGATTCTGAAAGGCTTATTGTTAAACCAGAGTCATGGCTTAGGGTGCCCCAGCTGGAATGTGGAATGATGCTTGTGCCTCACCAACAGGCTGAAAGGAAGGGCAGTGGGGCCAACCCTGGACCCTTGGCAAAAAGTGTTAGAAAGAGTGGGGAGGGAGGAAAAGTCAGGCTGGACAACAAAAGAGGGACAAAGGGAAATTTTCCTGTTTCTTTCTAGGATCTCCCTCCCCAAAAAGCCTATAGTCAGGGCTCAGCACACTAAGCAGGGAACTTTCTAATTCTCAATATTCCATATCCTGGCCTCCCAGATGTGGGGGGAACAGATTTTAGATGACTCTTAGATGAGACAAAGGGAGACACTGGATGGCAGTTGAACCCAGTGAGGACTTCCAAGGTGGGAAGGTACTCTGAAAACCCTAGTTTCCAGGATTTATTAAATATTTCATAGAGTCAAGAACTGTACGTGCGTATCTAGAATTCTTCTCAAAGATTCAGAGCTTGCCAAAGAAATAGGCCTGGACCCAACTGCCCTTTCCGAGTTGCATGCGCTGGGGGGAATGTGTAAGTTGAAAGGATTTGGGTGAAATTTAACATGGGGTTTGAAGGGATGGAATGTTGGCATTGAAGAAATGAGATCTTGGAATCGAGGGATGGAATGCTGGCATTGAAGGGGTGGAATGCTGAATTTGGGGGAAAGAATGTCGGATTGGGGGTGGGGGGATATTGGGATTAAAAGATGGAATGCTGGGTTTTAGGGGAGGAATGTTGGACTCCAAGGGTGGAATGCTGGGACAAAGGAGGAAGAATGCGGGGAGCAAGGGTGGAATGCTGGGATTGAGAGACTGAATGTCAGAACGGAGCTTGGGAATGCTGGAATGTACAATCAATGGTGTTTTTATCTTCTGTTGGCATGTTGTCCTGTAGGGGTTGTCCTATCTTGTGGATGATCCCCTGTTATCTGTACGAACCTCCACCATCAAGGTATAACTTTTTAAAACTTTGATTGATGTTTCTCTCTCTGATTCCTCTGAGTCTGTGGAGTTTCCTCTTCTTACCCCCTGGTCTGGTTCTCTGCATGCGCTGTTGATTCTTCCGGGGCTTATCCCACCTCTGCCATCACACCCAGTACCAGCTCAGGCTTCCAGTTCTCTTGTGCCTTTCTGATTCCCTTCTTTGACCTCCCCAGGGGCCTGGAGGGGTGGTGGGACATGGCACCAGTGTTGGTATCCTGTGAGTGTCCATGTGCCACGTCTGTCTATGCCCCCACCCCCCAACTCCACGGGAACTCCTGGTATTGGCTGTCGGGGCTGGTCTCTCTCTTTCTCTCTCCCTCTGAACTCTGTTCTCACGCTATTTCTCTTCAGACTTTCTCCTCACTCTGGCAGCCTGGGCCAGATTGTTCATGCCAGAGATGTTTAGTCACCTTGGCCAAACAACCATATTATAGTCATCCTGTGTTGCGCTCCACCCTATCCTGATGGCCTCCATTGAGAGTCGGTTAGCATCCCCTCCCCGTGCTGACACTTGACCTAGGGAATCCTGTGCCTTTAGGTGTATTAAGGAGCCATACCCCATAACCAGCTTCCCTGGCAGCTCAGTAAAGAGTCTGCCTGCAATGCAGGAGATCCAGGTTCAAACCCTGGGTTGGAAAGATCCTCTGGAGAAGGGAATGGCAACCCACTCCAGTATTCTTGCCTGGAGAATCCCATGGACAGAGAAACATGACAGGCTACAGTCGATGGGGTCACAAAGAGTCAGACACGACTAAGTGACTTTCACTTCAACCCATAACCAGGTGGGAAAAAATCAATCATCAAAAGAAACGATAACTCTTGACATTGTGACCCCATTGGCCTTCAAGAGCAAAACTCTCCCAAGTCTGTGAATAATTTAATGCCTTTAAAATCCTGGGTCTCATGCTTACCCAGGATTCATAAGGATCTCACCCAATAAAGCCAGAAAAAGATAACCTAGCACACCCACTATTCATAGTCAGGGACTCCTTGCCTGCTGCCCCCTGTGGGGATCCTGTCAAAGCCTACAAAGTCAGGCAAGTCTTTGCTTCTAGCTCTGAGGATGCTACGAAATCCCTCCATATCCTCTATATCCCTTCAGCCAAAGCCGCAGATGAAGTACAGGAAACATTGTGATTTCATGACTGTAGTCTCCGCCCTTCAGTCTGATGACCAGGGCTGCCCATGGGAATCTCTTCCTTCCTTCCTTTGAGGCCTATGGGATACCCCCAGGTCCGGAACGCTTCTTGGTGCTCCAGGCAGCTGGGCACCCTCCTCTCAAGGGCCAGAACAGAGCCAGGCAGGGTGCTGGGGCTCCTCCCGCCCCCGCCCCCACTTCCTATCTCTGTATCTTACCTGTTCCCCCTCTGCTCCCCACAGAACCACGAGTTCATAGATGAGCAGATGTTTGAGCAGAACTGCATGGAGAGTTCAATGCAGAACTACCCGTCCACGCGGAGCCCTTCCTTGTCCAGCCACCCGGGCCTCACGACCACCTGCTGCTCCCGCCGTAGTAAGAAAACCACACACCTGCCCAATTCCAACTTGCCGGCCACCCGCCTGCGCAGCATGCAAGAGCTCAGCACGATCCACATCCAGGGCAGCGAGCAGCCCTCCCTCACCACCAGGTGGGTGGCTCCCATCCATCCTCCATGAGGGTTTCGGGCACTCCCTGGGCTTCCCCTATGGCTCAGCTGATAAAAAATCTGCCTGCAATGCGGGAGACCTGGGTTGGATCCCTGGGTTGGGAAGGTCCCCCGGAGAAGGAAAAGGCTACCCACTACAGTATTCTGGCCTGGAAAATTCCATGGGCTGTATCATCCGTGGGGTGGCAGAGTCGGACATGACTGAGCGACTTTCACTTTCACTTTCATAGAGTGATGCCATCTCTGCGTTAGGAGAACCCTGGGGTCTTCAGCCCTCCCTCCCCCATATCTAATGCAAGGGCCTCCCCCACCTTCCTTCTCATCCTCTCAAGTTAGCCCAAAAGTCCCTCCTATGCTTTGGAGGATACTACAGCATGTTTAGGCCCAACTTGGGGGGCGGGGTAGATATGAGAAATATTTATAAAAACAAAAATCCAAAAATGACCTACCTGGTGCAGAGAATGGATTGTTTTCTCAAGAAAGTAATTTTCACAACTGTATTAGACATGGCTTATCCCAGGCTAATTTTGCATCACAAAGTGACTCTGCTTATATTTAGGGCCCTTCCCACTACCTCCAGTGAATTGCAAGGAATTCAGGGGAAGTAAAATCAAGTGTCACAAATGATAGGAAAATAGTGCACTGGAGGGGAAAATGTATACTCTGAATTCCAAGGCCCAATACGCATGACTTTTGCAATTTGGGGTAGTTGAGGAATAGTCATCAGAATGGATAATTACAAGCCAAATAGCAAAAGCAGAGATGGAGGGACACCCAAACCACCTCCTAATTACTATAAGCTAGACATGTAGAGGGTCACAGAAGCTTTGGGACACTAGCAAGATGAACCATCATCAACTCACTCTTTTTTTTATCCCAGTCGTTCCAGCCTTAATTTGAAAGCAGATGACGGACTGAGACCAAACTGCAAAACATCCCAGATCACCACAGCCATCATCAGCATCCCCACCCCCCCAGCACTGACCCCGGAAGGCGAAAGTCGGCCAGCCCCTGCCAGCCCGGGCCCCAACACGAACATTCCTTCCATAGCCAGCAATGTTGTCAAGGTCTCTGCCTTGTAAAACCACTGGACAGAGGGCCAGTGCAGGTAGTGGGAGTGAAGGGGGCTGGCATGTCGGTGGGTGGCCACTGGGACCACTCCCTCCCCCTTCCCCACTATTCCTGCCTGCCCCGTTGCGCCCCTAGCACTGAAACTTGTGCCTGGAAGAGGAGGCAGCGAAGGGGCACGTGAGGTTCACTGCTGCTGGCATGGACGCAGCCCTGAGCTACTGCATCTCGCTGGGGCCAGAGGAAGGGAGGACGGGTGGGGGTAAGGATGGGATGTGGGGGTACAGGCTGTGAGCCAGGACAGGGCCCAGAGGGGGGGAGCCTCAGACCAAATAACAGATGTTTCTGGAGACCCCAGTGAGGAAAATACAAGACCAAGAGCAGCACAGAGGCCGAGTTGTCACATGCAAAACAGGAAGAAAATATAACACTGTGTATTTAAGCGCCTTTTTCAAGGCTCTTAATGGATAATATTTATTCATGGGAAAAGGTGGAAAACAAAAACACCAACGGAGTTTTGTGAAATGTTTTTCTCCATGGACCCAATACCTTTGAACCAAAACAATGCATTTTGTGAGGGTTTTTGTTTTTGTTTTTTTCTCTCTCCTTTTATAGCAAAAGCTTTTAGGCTAAGAAGTCAGTTACTGCTGAGTTCTCTCTCCGTTCCCCCAGGTAGGTGAGGTCAAATGAGTCTGGGCCCCACTGCCCAGCTGACCTGCACAGAGCAGCCAAGTGACCACACAGCAACACTCACCCTCCGTCTGTCCCCGTCTGCTTTGTCTCTGTACCTCTCTGCTTCACCCCCTGGGTGTTTTTCTCTGTGTCTAGCCATCTGTCTTGACATGGACCCCGGTGATCCTGAGACATGTTAAAGAAGGCCTTCTCCACTGCCAAGCACCTACAGACTCATGCCCGGGAGTTCTATTTATGTGAATGCAGTGGTGGAGGAAAACAGAACAGAGCAAAAATGGGCATTTAGGGATGAGGGACATCTACCTTAAAGAGCAGAGTGCTTCCCTTGTGGCTGGAACCACTGGTATTTGAAGTCTGCATTTCTGGGGAAGAAAGGAAATGACCAGATTTATCACATTGGGATCTTGAAAAAGGAAACAGCCAGCACCGGAGAGGCACAGAAAATTCCAGCTTGTGCCAGTGGAGAGAGAACAGAAGAACCCAGGGCTCCCAGCGGCAGCCGGCCCCTGTGGCACCTTGCTCTGTACCCTTCTTTCAGGACCCACCATAAAGCCCATCCAGAGCTCTGCCAAAAGGCTCCATGAGCAGTTAACCGCCAAGAAGGCAATGGTATGGGGACCAAGCTCTGACTTATCTCATACCTGAGGCAACTCCCACGGAGGCTGCAGAAGGTTAAGCCTGTGTGCCTCATGAAGGATTCTCCAGAGTGAAAGCAAGTAAGAGATCATAGATGATTCTTACCTGGTCTGAATGGTGCCTTGGGGTCTGAAGAGTCTTCAGGCCAGCTGTCCCTGAAGATAACTGAAATGGGGGAGAAGCCTGATCACCTCCCTGAAAGTGAGGAAGTAATTATTTCCGGAGAACCTAGACACACTTCTGTGCAAGTGGTTTGTAGCTGGGTGGGGCTGGGAACACTATTTCTGGAATCCAGTCAATTTTCACTCCTTTTAGCAGAGCAGATGGGCCTTGGGGTTAGTGACAAAGCTCTCACCACCCTTCCCAACCTCTAGCTAGCCTATTGCAGTCTCTCTAACCTGGATTCTGAGTTACAGGAGTTCCTCAGGAACTCTTATCCGTTCAGCAACTTAGTGATTAGCTGTTTAATCGTAGACCGAGAATTTTTCTGCCCACCAGAGGCATCCAGATGAGTTTCACTAGCCAGGAACCTAAAAATTACCTTCATTGGCTTCCCTATGACCCCAGCTCTACTGACCCTGCAGAAGGAGAAAGTCAAAGGGTTGTGAGGTGGCACCTAACCAGAAGGTGAGCAGAAGGGCAGAGGAGAGGGAGGCTTCTACTTTATGCTGTCCTCATTGGTCACTGACTGGGTCCTTTCTCTGGGTCTGACCTCAAGGATTTCCCCCTGACCTGAGAATGGGGGTGGTTCTGGCCCTCTGAGCTCATGATAGAAGTAGGCAGAAAAGCTTTACAACTACAGAGGAATTCGTGTGTATACACACACACACAACAACCTAAACACACTTGGGAATAAGTACTTCAACCCATTCATGGCCTACATATGTCTCATCAGGAAAGGCAGAGGACTGGGCTGGGCTCCATTTAAATGGCAGGCCAAGGACTAGAAAAGGGACTTTTCTCTTGAAAGAATGGATAATGGAACAAAGTTAGGAAGGTCTAAAGTTTCTAAGTATATATCATGAGAACTGAATGTGGTAAAGGATAAAGAGGTAAATAGGAGCATGGTTACATATACATACAAATGAACTGTGTTTAAGAACAGATCATCACAAGGTTAGAATAATGACTGCTCCAACCTGGGACCTGTTTGGTAGTGTACTGGGGGAGCATATTAGTGGTTCCCATAAAAATTAATGAAGAAATTTAAAAAATCATATCCCAAATAATTTCCTGTTGTTTTTTGACCCTAATGAACTGAATGTTTTGTATCCCTTAAATTTCATTTCCAAATCTCACATTATACCAGGTCCTAGATGACCACTAGACTAACCCCTCAGCTCCATCCCTCAGTAGCCGTAGCCAAAGATGGGAAATCCACTTCACTCAAGAAAACGGAATACAGCCAGAAGGGCCACTACTGCTAAAGGATATTTGTAAGTAAACAAAAAGGCCAAATGTGCCACGTCAGTTTAATGTCTAACTCAATGGCCAGTGACTGAAGAAATGGGATATTATCAGGGTTTCCAGGGGACAATGGCTTTCTGGGGAAATGACTTGAGCTTTCATAGTTCTTTCATGAACCACTTCAGCATAATAGAAGAGTCACAAAACTACCCATTCAATCCTATTTAACATTAGGGAAGGTTAAAAACAAACCAGTAGGCTATATTCAAATGAATGGAAACTTAGAAAACATGGAATTAAGAGTATATAAAACTAGAAGAAATTAGAGACTATCTAAGTCATTTTACAGTATAGGCTGATGCTGTGACCTGCTCAAGGTCATGAGGTCATTTAATGAAAGGGCTGGGATCAGAACCCAAATCCCTTGAATATTAGTCTAATGCTTTTCCCATTACACGCATTGCCTCTCAGCAACAATGCTCAGAGAAGACCCATCAGAGTTTACTTGCTATAACTAGAGACATAGTCATGTGTGAATGCCCGTTATTACTTGGACACAAGCCCTGACTGTACCAGTATAAAACATACCTTGGAAACCACCATCCACTAGACAGAATCAGCTAAGGACTATCAGTTCTGTCAAAAGCAGGTGAGGAAGTGTACAGTCAGGTTTTTTTCAGTCCAATTCTGTCTTTCCAATGCCCTCAATGGAGAGGGCTATGACATTTTAAAGCATACTTTATGTAGTCTTTAATCCTTTCTACAACCTCTGGTGGTAGTAGGTCAAGAACTAAATCTTTAATTCACAGAGGGGAAAACAGGCAGAAAGAAGCTGAGTGACATTCAAATTCACATGGCAAGGTAGTGGCAGAACTAAGATTGCAATCCAGAGCTTAGACATCTTGCCCTGGGGTTTTTCCCTTGACATCATCTCAGGCTTGCTTATATTTTTAATACTTGGATTTTCAGAACCATCCTGAGCCAGGACCTCCAGAAGCACACTCTGTACTATTCCTCCTTCATCCCTTCCTTTCACTACCAGTGTCAAGCTCAAGACTAATTGCATAGAATCCTGTTCAGAAGACTAGATATTCTCAATGATAGTTGAACACATGAGTCTACAATCATACAAGAGGATAAAGTCAGCAAGTAGAAAAATGAAAGTAATAAAAATAAAAAATTTGAACAGAAATTAAAATGGCCAGTTAATGATGATTCACAATTAACAAGCATTAATTCATGGATATGCTTGAGGACCTGACCCAGTTTTCAAACGATGATTCCTGCAGTTCAGGATCATGTCACTTTTTAAAATTGATCTAAACCTAGATGTTTAGGCTATTAATGAATTCTAGTGATCCAGGCTCCCTCACTTCAATTACCAGGGAACTATAAGGCATAAACATCCTAACGCTGTTAATCTAAGGCAATATTAGTTTCCCTTCTCATCTAGTTGGCATGGTAACCATAAGAGGAACCCAAAAGACTATTTTCCCATTCTGATTTCCTTATGAAATCTCAGCAAAGCTTTAAAATGAGTGAAGGAAAAATGTTATGACCTGTCACCCTTGGAGCCCAAACAGCATCATGATGAGCATCATTAGAACTAAGAGAAAGTGGATCAGAAAAAGAAACAGCTTTAAAGGGGTTCCTTTTGAGTCCTGTTTTCAATTCAGAATGTTCTATGTTTTTCTCATCAAGTGTGGGAATGAATTTCTCTTAGCAGGTTTCTCAACTACACTGGCTGATGTCATACTAACCAGTGTAGGGCACTGACCCAAGTCCTGGGGGGCTCCTTGGGCCAACAGACTATTTTACAAACCTGGGTGGTGGGAGGGATGGTATATTTTTGATAATCAGACATTCCAGTGTAATGTTTTCCTTAGAGGTCACCCTCCCCCATTAATGTTATCGTGAAAAACATCAAGTGTGTTCTTTTCTATTTTCATATAATAAATGGGCTTTGCTTACCAACATCACAATGGCAAAGAAGAAATACTATACAAAACTGCAGAAAGATAAACATGTGAAATCTTTCTATGGAAACAAAAAAACAAACAAACCAACTCTTGAGTTTCCTGTTGTCTTCTTTTGAAACTGTAGTGCATATGTTAAAATGTATATCATTTGCAGTATTGAGTCATGTGCCACTGCTGTACCTGATGTATCCAATCTGGATTAAACAATGTGCCACAAAATGATTATGACTGTTTTAATACCTGTATTCTCCTCCTATACATTAGAAAATAAGGGTAATTTGAACAGAGACTTTCTCCCTTGCCAGAAAAAGTCACAAAATCTCAGAAGGCTGCTTAAGCTCTAGTCTCATCTTCCCTTCCCCATCCTCCCTCAATGCAAGCAACTCCTTTATGAAATCCGAGACGTTATTGCCTGCTTGGATACTTTAGTCATGGATGTTCACTAACAGGGAAAGCATTTGATTGCATTTGTCAACAGCTCTATTTTGAGACTCAGCCCTGCATTACTGAAAGAAAATAGGCTTTTATGTATCCATATTGGTTCTGCTGAGAATACACTGAATATCTACCATCTAAACCAACATCTCAAACTAAAAGGAAAACTCAAAATTAAATGCTATATAGAGCATAGCAAAAAGCTCGGATATTAGAGGACAGAGCACACATTCAGGTTCTATCATTTATATGACGTCACATCAGTTTCTGTGTGTGTGTATGTGGTCACATCCCGCAGTTTGCGGGATTCTTAGTTCCCTGACTAGGGATTGAACCCTTGTTCCTTGCAGTGGAAGCATGGGTGTCTTTAATCACTGGACTGCCAGGGAAGCTCCCAGTCTCTTCTCTCTTGGCTTCAGTTTGTTTCCTCATCTTAAAAATGAGGGGATTGGATTAGATACCTTGAAGATCTGTTCTTGGTAATTCTGGTTTAGGTAGTGAGAGCAACTGGCATTTTCACATTTCACCATAATGTGGCAAGAACAGTGGGAGTTCTTTTGATTTCCCCACAACAGCCATCGATGAAAATTGTAAGGTTAAAGCAAATGAAGGTTTGCTGTGTGTAAATATAAAGCAAATGTAAAAAATGCAAGGTTAAAGCAAATGTGTGATGCCAGAAGGCCCTGAGTTGGCTGTGAAATTCATTTCTATCACTAATGTTCATAGCTTTATCATCCACTAGGTGTCACTACAGATCCACAGTTCAAATAATCTGGAGAAAAGTAATGAAATCAAATGCATGGTGAGCAATATGTGCTTTTTCATGAAAAAAAGCACTGTTAACTGGGGTATACATGCTTGTTCACAGAGACACAAAACAATAAACATATTCTGTCAAAATGAAAGAACAACCTGGTAATGGAGTTCCAATGTCAGTTATGACTATCAAAAATATAATTTTATTTTTTAAGATTAAGATAGGGTTATTTATGAGGGAGAGGGAAAAAACCTAAGACTTTAAACTACTCCCTTGACTCATACGAGTTGATCCATTAAGTATCATCGTTTCTGTTCAATTATTTTTAGTGTTCAAGGGCTCTTACCTTTAAACCATTTTTTTTTAAGGTTAGTGATAGTGTTAGTAGCTTAGTCATGTCCAACTCTTTGTGACCCCATGGACTGTAGCCCGCTAGCCTCCTATGTCCATGGAATTCTCAAGGCAAGACTACTAGAATGGGTTGCCATTCCCTTCTCCAGGGGATCTTCCTGACCCAGGGATCGAACTCAGGTCTCCCACATTGCAGGGAGTCTTTATGGCCTGAGCCACCAAGGATGCCCTTTTTAAGGTTAGTGTTAGTGTGTTAGTCGCTCAGTCATGTCTGACTCTTTGCGACCCCATGGACTGTGGCTCGCCAGGCGGCTCTGTCCATGCGATTCTCCAGACAAGAATACTGGAGTGGGTTGCCATTCCCTTCTCCAGAGGATCTTCCCAACCCAGGGATCAAACCAGGGTCTCCTGCATTGCAGGCAGATTCTCTACCATATGAGCTACAGGGAAGATCCCTTTTTAAGGTTAGGTTAGGTTTAAAAGGTTAGCAATTATTATTGCAATATTTACACTACTTTTAAAGGTTACTTTTAATTACCCAAACATTAAGTCAGAATCATCCAAAGCAACAGGTTTCCCAAACATTTCTCTACATGTTAATACTGCTAGCTTAAGTCTAACTTGAACAGCTATATATATGTATTAATATTCTAGAAGTCAGATATTAAACCAATTCATAGTCATTTATGTAAATGTATAAAGGCTTTCTATACTCATAAAAAGATTTTCCTTTTCTCTAGAAATTATCTTATTAGTCATGTATCAGTTAAATCTTAGAGCTGAAAGGGACCCTAAAAATCTTTTGGTCTAACTGCCTTTTACTGGTGAGACTATTGGACTTTGAGAGGTTAAATGACTAGTATAAGGTAAAAAAGTAGGTAGTAGAGAGTCAACTAAGACAAACATTCCTTCCACTACATCACAAAACATTATCAAGTAAATCTGCCTAAAACTTACCTACAGTTCCTAACAGATTAGGGTGATACGCACCTAGACTGACAATTTCAGCAGATTCCTTCCACAGCCAGCACAATAACTACACCCCTTATTTGGGCAGGTAACTGCTGAAATGTTCCAAGGAAAATGCTTATGAAAAATGAAATTAGAATCTTCATGTGTTATGGTATATGCTTACCTCCAGCTTATTTTCCTATTTTTTAAAAAAAGCAAACACAAAAAAAGACAACCCTAAAAAAGAATCCAATTAATTTCAAGACTAATGGGTACTCTAATCTCTAATTAAGATACAGAAGTATCCTAATTAAAATCCCCTAGCAATGATAAACTGTGAACTTGGCTGTATTGTGGGGGAAAAGAGTAGGAAAAAAAAGAAGAGCTAAGCTCAATTATGTAACAATGACAGGATCTTAAACGTGTAATTAATGAGAGGCTGGACCTAATTACGGATTTCTTATTTACAGTGTTAATTCACTCTAACTTGGTAATACACGTACAGTACTGGTGTTTGTACGTACTGCCCGACCCAAATGACAGGAATCTGTGGTAAACCATTAGGGCGGTGTTATGTGAGTGTTGGACAGCTAATGACAATGGCTATAGATGTTTGCTGACAGCCCTGGGGGAAAATGTTTATACTGCCTAGACAAGTATGTACACAGGAAAGCAGAGCTTCCCTTTTAAAAAGTAAATACGTATCTCTGTTCATAGGTGGTTCTCTCACAACAAATCCCTTTCACAGAAAGGATTGGGAACCAAACACGAATTCATAAAAGGAATGCTATAAAGAAATTAAAGAATATGTAATTTCCAATTACATTTTTCCAAATCATAATTTATAGACACAGAATTTCAGAAAAATGCTACAAACTTCCCTTAGCCTACTAACTAGCAGAGTAGGGCAGCTATTAGTCTGGGTCCCAGAGATGGGCTTCAAAGGGTTTATGAACCCTTTGAAAACAAATTCTTGTTTATAGAATGAGAAATTTTCTGGGACAAATCTATAGCTTTCATCAGATTCACAAAAGGATCCAAAAACCAACAAAGATGAAGAGCTGCTCCTTTTCTTGAGACAAAAAGACAGCCACTGATCCTTAGCTATTTAATGCATATCAAAAACATAGACAGCTTCAAGACATCATCATCAAAAGATGAACAATAAACATGTCACCACACTTGGCTGAGTTTCTTTTTTTACTGGAAGCAAATAGCATCAAATCAAGGACCTTGGGAAAGTCTGAATCAATGTTTATTCCCAAAGGAGAAGCAGTTTTCTGATCTACCATGCTACAAATTTCTCTAAGAACACACCTCTATGGAAATGCAGCCCAAGACTTTTGGAAAGAACTCCACAACATAAACTAGCATTACCTTTCAAATCTCAAGGTTTTTATTTCTTTTAAAGTAAGCAGTGGTATAAGTCTTTTTCAGTGTTTCTTTTGCGAACAGCTTATAGAAAATGGCACCCTGGGACCTTTAGCTTTACGTCCCCCAAATTTTCTTTCAAGAATCTAATCCAGGGAATTTCTTTAAAAAGATAATACACTTGACCTACATCAGGTTGATTTAGTTCAAAACAATCTATGTCCCAGCAGAAAGCCTCAAGACTTCTCCAATTCCTCAAAAAATGCCACTATATGCCACTCCACTATAGGTCAAGGAGGATGGTAATCACTTGATATGCCCAGATGGTGTGAGGGACAGCCTACTGTCGTCACTGGTTGCCACGCATCATTTCTTGTAGATAAACAGTATTCATCTGATAGGCTGCCATCCAACTTGGATGCCTCTGAGCATTCCAATAATACGACTGAGAAGCAGCAGCATAGTATTCCTGCCATGCCCTGTAGTAAGCTCTCCAGTACTCCTCATAGTCCTGATACGTATCAGAAAAACCTGGATGTGCTTCCCTATGGCAGTCATACCAACCATCTTCCTGGGGTTCTGTCTGCAATCGATAGGAAGATCGCCTAGGAAGGTTTCTTCGGCTCTGCTTAGCTCTCTGGTTATGGTTAGCTCCCTCCTTATGCCTTGACTTTACTTGGATTTCAGCTGATTCTTGATACTCTACCAGGCTAGGGGTGTCATTTCCATTCAGAGGCTGTTCCAAAGAGAGATGGCCATCCATAGGAATAGATTCCAAGTCTTTCAGCTGAGTATCAGAAGCAACTTCCAAGTATGACTTATGTCCTTTGCTCTGGGAAGAAGTCCTTGAGGTGTAAGAATCACTGTCACTCTCAGAGTCTCCAGATTGGCTGCTACTTGCCAATATCTGCACTCTCTCTTCAGTAATTCTATTTTTCACAAAACCATTTTGAGGATTCACAGACTGATCCCCCGGACCTGTGTAGTGTCTGATGATTTCCACAGGTTTCTCTAAACCCTCTTTAATATAATGTTCATAATCCTCCACCAATTCTGCAAAAGTCAAAATGCATGGCAAATGGGTTTTAAAGGAAGACAGACAAGGAATTTTGGGGAGTGACACAGAAGCTTCTTTGACTTGGTGCTGAATGTTAGTAGGGTTTTCAACAGAGGTCTGAACAGAATTCTTCATTTGTTCTTCCAACTGTACTGCACAGCCCAGTTCTTTTGGTGACATGGCTTTTTCTACGATTCCACACTCTGAATGGCTTTTCACAGGAAGCTTTTTTTTGGCATTATTTTTTGATTTCACTGATACCGCAGATAAAGAAGTATTTCTAGATGAAGCCATGTGTTTACCATGATCTTTCTGAGTTTGAAAGGTTCTCTCTATTTTTTGAATGTGCTTTTTTAGAGGCTGGGTAGGTACACTTGCTAAACCATATGTATGCACGGCAGCTTCAACCTCCACATCCCAATCCAAACATTCTTCCATCAGACCAGGAGGAATAGGATCTACATAAAAGAAATTTTTAAAGTATTAAATTCTCAAGTTGCTTTAGACCAGCATTTTCTGAATGGTTTAATAAAGCTTTCCATGGTCAAAAGGGTTAAGAAACAAAATACAACAACAATATACTAAGAAGCTTAATATATTAGTATTTTAAAAGACCTAAGTAATCCTCACAGGAAAGAATTTTGCTGATAAATACACAAGACCCATCCCATACTCATAAGCAATATCACCCTCTAACCTCTCACTGAAAAGAGCTGATTCTAGGAGTGAGGTATGCCTCTGTAGCAGTTTTCCTACCCCTTGTCATCTCCCTCTCACCAACTCCTCCCTGTGATCTCACTATTCATAGCAGCAAAACAAAGGTATCAGAAAACAGATCATGCTCCCTAAAGCTTACCAACTGGGAAATATTACAACCGCAACTCTGCATCCAAGTAAATCTGCCACCCTATATTATATTCTACCAGGGAAAAATCAATGCCTTCAATGGTGGAGGGCAAAAATCTCCACAGGGGAAAAAAGACAGATAGATGACTGTGAAAAGATCTGTGATATCAATGGCACTTGTAAATCTAAAAAAATTTACTGGCTCCAACCCTCTGAATTTCCTCTCCCAGCCAGGTGTGACAATTTGCTTCTACCTGCACTCAGGTCTTTCCAAAGTGTGACCAATTTTCACCTTAGACCAAGTACACAGAGCCTCAGCTTTACAAAGCTCTCACCTGTCACTGCTGGTGCTGTTCCGTGTATGTGTCAGTTCAGTTCAGTTCAGTTCAGTCGCTCAGTCATGTCCGACTCTTTGCGACCCCATGAATCGCAGCACGCCAGGCCTCCCTGTCCACCATCAACTCCCGGAGTCTACCCAAACCCATGCCCATCGAGTCGGTGATGCCATCCAACCTGCCATCTCATCCTCTGTCATCCCCTTCTCCTCCTGCCCCCAATCCCTCCCAGCATTAGGGTCTTTTCCAATGAGTCAACTCTTCGCATAAGGGGTCTGTATATGTGTACCCACTACTCATTCCCTCAGATCTGGATTCTTTAGCTGAGGCTCTTGATTTTTCATTGACTAAACTCAGATTCCTACTAAGATGATATCTCTTGCTTGCAGAGATCTATCATTCAGGTCAATTTCCCTCTTAATCCTGCTCCAGGCTACTCACTTGAACAGTCTGTGGTCACACAAGTGCCTAGTCCAATATAGATCTAACACCATGAGTATCATTTTCTTGCGATTTCAGGGCTCTGTTAACACTTCGTAAAGATCCAAATACATGTCATTTTCCAGTAACCAAAAACTTTTTTATCACTAGATGTTATGATACTGAATCCTATCACATGGCCTACCTCTCATATGTCAATTTTCAATTTTTTTCTGTATTTATAATTATAAAGATTATCAATAGACTTATAGAGAGAATTAATTAACAAAATATAGTCTCAGAGAACCTAAAGACCATCTACTCTAAAAACACTTTGTAAACCAGGACAGAAGCTTAGAGCAATGTAAAAAATCTGTAAAAAGATCATAAAATGAGTTATCACAAAGCCAGAACTACTAAAATTCACAGTACTCCCAGACCTGTGCTTAATCTAGCTTTGTAGAAATCACTAAAGGAATGAAATATATTGGTAAATATTCATTGCTCTATTTATTCAATAACATACCCCATTTTCTAGAAAATCATGTAGATATAAGTATATGTTTATGTAACTATACAATATCTATATATGTATATAGCTATGTATCTATATAATGTATGGAGGAGAAGGGGATGACAGAGGATGAGATGGCTGGATGGCATCACTGACGCAATGGACATGACTTTGAGTAAGCTTCCGGAGTTAGTGATAGATAGGGAAGCCTGGCGTGCTGCAATCCATGGGATCGCAGAGTTGGACATGACTGAGCGACTGAACTGATTGGTGTGTGTGTGTGTGTGTGCATTTATATATATATGACCTGTCTCTTGAGAAATCTGTATGCAGGTCAGGAAGCAACAGTTAGAACTGGACATGGGAACAATGACTGGTTCCAAATAGGAAAAGGAGTATGTCAAGTCTGTATATTGTCTCCCTGCTTATTTAACTTATATGCAGAGTACATCATGAGAAACGCTGGGCTGGATGAAGCACAAGCTGGAATCAACACTGGCGGGAGAAATATCAATAACCTCAGATATGCAGATGACACCACCCTATTATGGACATGAGTCTGAGTAAACTCCAGGAGTTGGTGATGGATAGGGAGGCCTGGTGTGCTGCAGTCCATGGGGTCACAAAGAGTCGGACATGACTGAGCAACTGAACTGAACTGAACACACTAATATGCATACATTAACATACAGAGTTGACCTCTGAATAACACAGGTTTGGACTGAGGGCCTGAAGGTGCCGTGTGTATGACAGTACCACGCAGTCTGCTGTTGGCCGAGTCAGGGACTGTGGAAACGCAGATGTGGAGGGCTGACTCTGAGTCACACAGGGACTTACGCGCCACGGAGGCTCGGCACCTCTAACTCCCATGTTGTTCAAGGATCAGCTGTACAGCATATAAATCATATTTCCACACAAGAGTTTACAGTTTTTAAAAAAGTTTTCAAGAAATCATTAATAGTTTCAAAACATGCACTGTTTCCAAGACGGCACTTTTAAAAGGCAGCTTAATAAATGATTCATTAAAATCAAAAGAAAATACTTAAACATTTTCAGAACAGTGTTCAAATTAAAGATACTTCCTCATAATAACAAAGGAGAACATGACAAGAATTATCTTTATCGCAACATAAAAGGTAAGATACATCCTTGATATAAAAGAATAAAATCAAATGTGAAAGCTACAAAGTAAAAATATGGAGTTAATACAACAGAAATATATTTTTCACTTTTCATGTGTGAAAAATATATTGTTAGCTTACAATTTTCTCCCTGCTACTTATTAACTGTAAGACCTTAGGCAAATAGTTAACCTCTCTGTCTCAGTATCCTCTTCTACAAAAGGTAAATAATAATAGCACATAACTCAAAGGATTGTGGTGAGCATTAAATGAGTTAACACATAAATACTTATAAATACTTAGAACATTACACAACACATCATAAATACTCTACATTTGCTATTATTTTTATTAGGCCTATCATCATTACCATTATTATTTCAACAGCAAATGAAACAGATAAAATATACCTGGTAAAGGCAGAAGATTGATATTACATTTCTGGGCAATTTTCATCATCATATTTTCTTCTTCTCCCCTGCAGCAGTAGGTCACTGTCAGTCCCAAAGTACCTAAAGCACCGAAGGAATGTTAAGTAGTAAGTCAGTTTCATATAAATGACACTCCAAGTCCACTTGCCACATTACAGCTTCCTCCCCTTAAAGAAAGCATCCCAACTTTTTTCTTTTTACCGAAACGGCCAGCTCTGCCAATCCGATGCATATATGTCTCCCAATCCAATGGTACATCCAGGTTTACAACTAGGTTCACCTTCTCAGCATCAATTCCACGGGAAGTCTTGAATTGCAGAAAAGAACAATTTCTTGTTTGCAGTAACTACTGCATGGACACACTATTATTCTAGTATAACCAAGAGCCAAATTAAGAACAGGAGGATATTTAGGAGCAAAGGAATATTTGTTTCTAATGAATAACTGACTTCAAGAATAAAGATAAAAACACAAAAGATATTTTTAAGAAAACATATTCCCCAGCACTGGAAATAAGATTATCTTCTGGTATTCCTGTCAGTTACAGCCACCTAAAATAATAGTTGAAATCTGTACATTTGATAACAGAACATATGCCCAGATGGATTAGTCACCCAAACTGAACAGGAAATTTACCAAATCTGTGGAAATGAGGACTCTGCAATGAAACTGCTTCAGTTTAGCCATAGCATCAAGACGCTGATTCTGATTCATGTTGCCTAAAAAGATCCAGAAATAAAGTCACATAAAACAAGCTAATATACATTTGTCAAATCCACAAAAAGCAAAAATAGTAATACCCAGTCTTAACAGTTTAAAAATATAACAACCAAAGTTAATTCTGTCATTATATGGAAACCTAGGTTAAGACCTAAAGTCAGAATCTTTTAAAATATAGTTAGGCAATCAACTCAAAATTCAATTTTAATTTTTTTCTTATTTTTATTTTTTGGCCGAGCTGCAGTATGTGGGGATCTTAGTTCTCCAACCAGAGATTAAACTCATGCCCCCTGCAGTGGGAACACAGAGTCTTAACCACTGGACCACCAGGGAAGTCCCTCAAAACTGTTTTAAATGGTGACTTAGGCTATACCTGCAGATATAACATTATATCTAAAAGTTACATATAAGGTTTACCAATTCTTAGCAAACTAAAATTTCCTCAATCAGCTGCTTATCAATTTGGTATTGAAGTGTGACCTACAGTCCAAATACTGGTCCATGGGATATATCATCACCAAACAAGCTTATGCTAAGAAGTTAAAAACTAAGCTGAGATAGCAACCAAAACTCTAAAAAGGCTCTCATTGATCAAAAATTCCTTTAAATCTTCCATTCCTAGGTCAGCAGCAATAATTCAGCTTTGTGTGAAAAATCAATCAATTCTGAGTCTTCCTTGGTAGCAGCTCAGTGATAAAGAATCTGCCTGCAGGAGACACAGATTCAACCCCTGGTCTGGAAAGATCCTTCATGCTGTGCAGCTACTAAACCCATGCATCACAACTACTGAACCTGTGAGCCCAGGAGCTGCAACTACTGAAGCCTGCGAGCCTAGAGTCCATGTTCCACAACAAGAGAAGCCACTGCAATGAAAAGCCCAATCCCTGAAACTAGAGAAAAAGCCTTCACAGCAATGAAGACCCACCACAGTCATAAATAAATAAATGAAAAATCAATTGGTTTTGCCTTCCAAGAGACCATAAAAGTCAATTTAGTCAGCAAGTCTTAGCAATTTTAAAATGATTATCTCAAGCCAAAAAAAAAGACTTTGTTTTTATAAAATTAGTTATTTGTAGATATAACTCAAGTTTTCTAATATTATACTATAAACCATGTTACTTATTAAAAAACAAGGATATTTCTATAACCAAATCTCAGTGAAAAATAAACCTGAAATTCCTTTTACTCTAAAGATTCAGTATAACTCCACATTAACAAGTCAACTTATGAAGTGGTATCTCTCCTGACATTGGAGAAGCTTCAAGTCAGGATACTCAATAAAGATTAAAGTTAAGAGGTGAAGTTACCTGAAATGCACTCGGCAGGAAAGCCTTTAGAAGAAAGGATATCAGCCAAGTGTTGTGCTCTATGAAAAATAACACAGAGGGTTATAATTTTACAAATATTGCCCACACCTATCCTTGTATTTCATAAGTTCCCCAGATGACTTTTAAGGTACAGTACCTGCTGTGTAAGTTAGAAAAGACTAAGGCTTGATTAAATGGAATTTTGCTGAAAAGTTCCTGTAAATGTTGAGTCTTTTCCTCAAAAATCTTATGGGCCAAAGGGTATGAATTGACAATCTTATAATACTGCTTCAAACCTATAAAGAAGAGTCTTCTGTTAAAACAAACCTATTTGCTAAATAAAGCAAATATGAAAGCAACAGACAACTAAACGAAAGAAAGTTCCAGAATATCGTGAACAAACCCAGTAAGTAACAAATCCAATATCTATACACACCTACTAGACTTGGATCACTGGAATTTAGTCTTACAAAAGTGGGCTCCCTCATGTACTTTGTCAAAGCATTAGCCAAAAATTCAGGGTAAGTAGCTGACACTGCCAACATCTGTTTACTTGCAGGCAAGGAAGAATAAATCCAACTGCAAAATAAAAGAAAGACACACTCTGAAAAATTATTCAGATGGTAATCACCACTTAGAAAAGCCAAAGACAGACACTTTGGAGCACCATTTAAATAGTCAAGTTACTTATTTTCCTTACTTTATTTGTTCCTGGAAGCTGCCTTCTTCTAAAAGCTTATCTGCTTCATCAAGAATAAAGAGACGTATACTACCTGTATTCAAGTAGTCCAGTTCTATCAGTTGTTTAATTCTGCCTAAAGTCCAGAAAACAAAAGAAAACATATTCAAATATCGGTAACGCACCAATTTGTGGAAATTTCAGCCAATTCTATTACTCTACTTAACAGGTGGAACTGCTGATCTGAGCCAACCCTCACTATTCTCTATTTACACACTAAACCACAAATTAGAAATCTAGAGTTCTGATCTTGCCTAAATCTTTTGTTTTTCCCTCACATTTCATCACCAATATGTATGGAAAATAAACACTATTCCTGTTAAGAGCTGTATGGCACTGAATGCTAGATTGTGATTCTGAGTGATTCATGACTGAAAGACAATATAGAAGCAAAGAATAATCCCAATCCTTGGCTTTAGGGCCTCCTGAAAGTCATCTCAATACTCTTCTTTTCAAAAGCCTATCCCATACTTGTTCTTAAACATCCTTAGGAATGGAGACTTTACAAATTCTGTTGGTAATCCAGTTATGTGTTTATATCTCACTAATGTTCATCTTTAATACTCAAAATAATTGCCACAGTTATCAAAGACTGCCATATAAAAGTGCTCAGTTACTTAAAAGCCCAGTAATTAAAAGGTGCTGATGACTTACCAGGAGAACCAACAGCAATATGACACTTTTTAAGTCTGGTTTTGTCTTGTGATAATGGAGTCCCTCCAATAAACACATGACACTCTAACCCTTCCATTTTTATTCCAATGGCTGTGATAACAGAATGTATTTGTACAGCAATTTCTCTTGTGGGAGCCAAGATCAAAATCTAAAAAAAAAAGCAAAACATAAAATACACCTTTAACAAGTCAGCATTATAAATATATAAGATAGGACTCAAAAAGATATCCCCAGTGCCTGGCATAATTGTTTATAGATAACATAGGCAAATCATGTTATCTTTAACAAATCTTTGTTGAAGAAACGATCCCCAAACCCAAATCTCCTGTTAATTTGGGTAAGGCCATCTTAGACATACTCTGAGAGAATCTAGAAAATGGGAGATCAGTATAATACATTCACTGTAAGAACCACCTAGTTACCAACAGCAGCCAAGCACCTCATTACCACCAATCAGGCAAAATACTAAACCTCACCATAATCTGGTGAGCAAATAAAAGCGTAAAAAAATCCCTATCTGTATTCTCAAGAAATGACAAAATTGACACACATGGCAGGTTTATTTAACATGTAGTAATAACAGGAATTTCTAAACTTCTATCTTGTCACTATCCCATCCATACCACCACCACTCAAAAGGCTCAATGTCTACTTTCCCTGTATACTTGTCATATGCCTCAAGGGAATCATTCACCAACTTCACTTCTATCTCTGAGGAGCCACTGGTATTTCATCTGACGTGTAGTAAAATCCACATAACATACCTTCCTCTGGGTCATCTGAGCTAAACTCACCTGGGTACTTAGGTTCTCAAGAACAAGAGAGTCCAAAGCAATGGTGGAGAAGACACAGGTTTTCCCAGTTCCAGACTTAGCCTGAACAATTAAATCTGAGAAGGAAAAAAAGTTAGCTAGGACTGAAGAAACTTAGGTACCAATCCCAGAACTAGAAGGGTCTCCAGAGAGATCACATCGTTGACACTTTGGTTTTTACCCTTAACTCTTAAAAAAGCATGAAGCCATACCCAGAAACAGGCCTCCTCCCTGAACCCCCACCGTTTCTTTTCTTTAGGCTTAAGAACCAGAAGTTTGAAGTATGAAATCAAAGTATCGTAGGGTCACATTCCCTCCAAAGGCTCTATGGTTATCAATACAATTCTTCCCTGTCTCTTCCAGCTTCTGATGGCTCAGACATTTCTTGGCGCGGAGCTGTGTAACTCCAATCTCTGGCTTTCTTCTCTTTCTCTGTTATAAAGACTCTTGTCACTGGATTTAGGGCCTACCCTAATCCAGATGATCTCATCCGAGATCCTTATTACTGTATACTTTTCTCAAACATAGAACCACTTGTCCGAGTGGAATGGACCTTAAATATCTCCAAATTCAGTACTGCGCCTCCGTTCGACAGTGTAGGAAATAGAGGCTCGCGAAACGTGGTTGTCGTGCCCCTGCAGGCAGCCGCCCTGGGCCCTTCCCGGCTTTCGCCAGGGCTCGACCCCCCCGCCCCCCCCAGCCCCCGCAGCCCCACCGCCGGCCCTCCTGGCCCTTCCAGTGCCCCATGCCTCACCGAGTCCACATCGCCCGAGAGGGATGGCCTTCAGCTGCACCGGCGACGGCCGCTCGAAGCCAACCGCCCGCAGGCCCTCCAGCACCGGGCGCGACAGCAGCAGCGACTCGAAGTCTGCCGGCTCCGCCAGCAGCACATCCCCAGTGCGGGTCCGCGGGCCGCTGATGTCGTGAGCCGTCCGCAGGCTCCGCACCGGCCGGGGGACTGGCTCCGGGGCCGAGAACTGCGCGGCCGCACGCTCCGCTGACACAGCGGTCTCCATGGTCGCTAAGGCAGCCGGTTCTTCAAACGCCGCCGCCATGGTAGCCGCGCCGCCGGATCTCGCGGTACTTGGGGCGAGGCTGGGAGCCTGAGAGCGAGAAGAGGAAAAACTTTATTGGCAGTCTTCCCGTGAAGACAGTGACACGCCAAACCTGGAAGAGGAGGGGAAGTTGAAGACTCGGAAACAGCTACAACAAAAAAATGTGACCAGAGGATGGCGGGAAAAGGGAGGAGAGGAAAGCAGAGGCTACCAGCGTGTCGCCGCCTGCGACCTGTAGAGGGCGCCGCGGGCTAACGGTGGGAGCACCGCCTCGCCCCACGGCCCTCTGTGGGCGGGTCCGCCCCGCCCAGCGCCCAGCGCCCGGCGCCGGCTGCCTCACAACGCCGCCTTTGTGATGCGCCCTGTGCGTCAAGCTCCCCACCTCCGGGCCCTGACTCCGCGGTCGCCCTCTCCCGATCCCCGCTGTGTCTCACCCCGACTCGCTGCCTTGTCCTGCGCTCTCAGAGAACGCCCAGAGTACAGCGAGACGATTGACCACGTTGCATAGTATCTATCTGTGTGGTTTCCTCTTTGTGACCCCAGCCCCTACCACCGTGCCTGGCACACGGCTAGCCCTGATGAAAGAAATCGGATATTAACCAGCAACTGCACTGACAGCTCCCACATTCGTATCTCCACACTTGTACCTCCATCTCCACACCTCCACTTCGATGTTTAACAGCTCAAATTTAACGTTTTCTGTGTGTTGCTCCTATCCCTCCCCACCACCATCTCAAGAACGACAACTTTAGGTCTCCGCTCACATACCACCTTTTCAAAGAGGACTTTCCTGAACAGCCTGAGATAGCTCCCTCGTCCTGGCAGCTCCCCAGCTTTTCTCATCACTCTATTCCCTTGTTCTGGTTTACTTTTCCTCATGGTACTTACCACTAGCTGAAATCATGTTTATTGTCTGTCTCCCCCACTCTATGAGGACAGAGATCTATTCTCTCTTGTTCTTGTCAATATTCCTTGTCGGAAAAAAGCAATGCCCAGTATTTATTGAACAAATGAGTTCCTATAACAAAGTCTGAATCATAACTCCAAATGTAAGTGTTTCTGGAACCTAATCTTACAATTCCAAATCTAAAGATAATTCTGCATCTAACCCCAACTTTTGCCTTTATCCTGATATCATAATTCTGGTCATTATCTCTCACCAGTTCACACTTCCCTTCTCTTTCTCTCTGTCTCTCTCTCACACACACACAGTGATGATTCAGATTCCAAAAGAGGTAGGAGGACTTTGGCTTGGTAACCTTATTGGGAAGGGGTCCTCAGATGCATTTTTCTTAGAAATTTATAAAACACTGAGAAAGTATTAACTGTTCCTATGAAAGAATGGGGCCTGTTGGGAGTGAGTAATAAAGGTTTCAGACTTCCTCTTAGTACCCTACCTCTTTCATTCACCTAATCCTTGAATCCCAAACCTGGGAATTATTCTTGACTCAACCCTGCACTATACCTCCCCTTTCTTTTTTTCTTTTTTTTTTTTCTTGACCACATGGTGCAACTTGCGGGATCAACCAGGGAGTGAACCCCTTGAATACTAGACCAGCAGTGAAAGTGGCGAATCCTAACCCCTGGACTGCCAGGAAGTCCCACCCCTTTCTAACAGTTACAAGGGCAGGTAATTTTGCCTCCGAATATCTCATCCATATCTCTTCTCCAGTCTCCATAGTATGTGTCCTATTTTAGGTCCCTTTATCATCCTAACTATTGCAACAGCCTCGTGAACGGTGTCCTTGCTCAAAGTTTCTTCTTTCTCCCAGCCACCTACCCCACAGGCACTGGAGTGACCTTTCTTAAGTAGATATCTTAGGCTGTTTGGGTCCAGCTTCTGATCCTACTCCTTTTGACCACCTTTTTTATTTCCCATCCCAGGGTCCCACTTCTCACTATAAGTGATTCCAGTCTAGCGCTTACCTTGTTCTGTTTACTTATTTTCATATCTGTCCTTCACACTAAATAAACTGTAAGTTTCTCAAGGATGGAAATTTTTTCTTACCCTAGGCTCTCCAGTCCAGCACCAGGCCCTTGGTGGACCTAATAAATATTGAATGGCAGAACTTTTCCTGCTCAAAAATCTAAGCTGAATTTTCATGCTCAGCAGCAGCGGTGTAGAACTCAAACCAATCACCGATGAAGAACTTAGCTCTCATCCCAAAAGAAATATAAAGATTATTTTTCCAGAAAAGAACATTTATAGTTTTATAGGTATTCTGTCATTACATTTGTTGTTTACAAAGTCTTATGGACACAAATATTGCAGTTATATTACTAGGCATAAATTATATTGCTATAGCTAAAAACAAATCAATACAATTTTTTCTTTAGTAGTTAAAAAATTGTAATAATGCTGTTGTTCATAATGTTTAGTGCCATAAAACACAAAGGTAAGAGACCATTTAATAATCAGGAGGTATGAGAGTAACATACACAGAAAAATGCTGGACTGTTGTCCACCTCCTGGCCTCTCCCAGGATAAAATCACAATGGGACCCCAGCCTCCTTTTACGCTGTTTTGTCTACCTGGAAAGTCTTTCCTTATTTTATATACCTGGAAGCTAGTGGAGGGATAGATTCCTGTGAACTGAAGAAGTGGGAGTAAGATATCAACCCAGAATGGATTTTCAGGTTCAAACAGTCCCAGACAATCATTTCACAGTGGAAGTTTCTGCACCCGGAGGAAAGGTAAATAATGTAAATAAAGACAGGAGCGTAAGGTGGCCCACCTGGGTGTGAGAATCCATGGGAATATGTGGGACAAAAAGGAAGAAACTAAGGTTTTTTTTTTTAATAGCATTTGTTTATTATTTGTTCCCCTGGTGCTTTGCACGAGGGGGTTTCTCCAGTTGCAGTGCACAGGTTTCTCATCGCTGTGGCTTCTCTTATTGCAGAGCACAGGCCTAGGGCGGACAGTACTGGCAGCACAGGGGGTCAGTAGTAGCAACTATAGAGCGCAGGCTCAAAACTCGTGGCGCAGAGGCTTAGCTGTTCCACAGCACGTGGAATGTTCCTGGACCAGGGATTGAATCCATGTCACCTGCATCGGTAGGCAGATTCCTCTCCACTGTCCCACCAGGGAAGTCCTTAGTCTTATTTTTAATTGGAGGATAACTGCTTTACAATGTTGTCTTGGCTTCTGCCATACAACAATGTGAATCAGCCATAAGCATACATATACCCCCTCCCTCTTGAACCTCCCTCCCACCCTTCTACCCCATTCCATCCCTCTAGGCCGTCACAGAGCACTGGGCCGAGCTCCCTTGTTACACAGCAACTTCCCACTAACTGCTTTACACACGGTAATGTGTATATTTCAAGAACTGATTTTTATAGCCACTTTTTCTCATTTGATCCTCAGAGCAACAAAGGGTAGGCAACCTTATTATTTTCATTCAATCTGCAAACATATCTATTCATTCTTGCAACAGAAATCTAAATGCCTAATACAAATCAGCCAAATGCTGGAGATACAAAGATGGGACAAAATAAACAGAGCACTTGCCCTCAAGCAGAAAGATACGTGCAGACAGCACTGACCAAGGAGGAAATATACAAGTAGCACAAGGTGCTATACAAGTATATGCAGCACTGACATTTTTCAGAGCTTTAGCTGCTCAAAGTGTGGCTGTCATGTGGGAGACAGTGAGAACTTCTGAGAAATGGAGAAAAACAGCTTTTGGTATTCAGAGACCAACAGCTTTTTTCTCTATGCCCTTCTCTCCCCACCTCAAATCAAAGTGGTTTAAAGCATGTATAGAACTAGAAGAAAACCTCCACGCCCAGATCATTCTTCTCCTACTCCCTGGAGTCGAGCCCTTCTGCCATGACAGCAGCACCAGGAGACAAAGTCCTAGTCCCTTGAAGCACTGGGGGCTGATTTTCTGAGCTGATCCCGGAGGATAGATAAGGAGTTCAATCAGGCAGTGGGGGTGGAAAGAAAGCTCGCCAGGCAGACAGCGTAGAAAGATATTCTGGGCAGAAGGAGCAGTTTGTGCAAAGGCGTGGAAGCGTGAGAAACCACAGCAGTTAGGGAAGGTATGAGCTTCAGCGTGAACGGAGGCAAGTATGGCAGCAATTACCAGGAAACAAGGTTGCAGAGATGTGCTGGTCCTGTAGTGTGGAGGGCCTTGCCTGCCACCACAAGGAATATCAAATTAATGTGTTATGCTTGCCCAAAATGGGATAGTGTTAGGTCACAATAGAGAGAAATACAATTGGAAATATAGGCTAGGGCTTCATAGATGACAAAGCTGAGGAGTTTGGACTGTCACTTGCAGACCATCGAGCATCCTCTCAGTTTGGGATCTAACTTGAGGTAGTAACTACAAGGCCCACTTTACACACTGTTTCTCACACCTAACAGGGTCTTTTAGGTGTTAAACACCACTTTCTGAGTGTCAGCGCTTACCTCTGTGCTGCTGAGCCCACAAACAGTGACTGAGCACGTGTTTTCTGGTTCTCTCTTCCAGGCAAAGGGAACCTTTCCTCCTGTATTCTTCAGCTCATCGACTCAGTGGACTAGTACCATCCGTAAACTTAAGTTATGTCAAATTTGTTAAGTAACAATATCTGGCCTTCTGGACAGAATTTTTGTTTCATGACCTTGTTGGATCCTACGTAGCAAACTTTTGATGTGGAGAATAACTATTTTCACATGTGCCCCTTGGCCTGTGGGGTGACCACACCCTTAGTATTTTCAGACAGGTATGAGGAGCAGGGGAGAAGCAGCAAAGGCCCGGGTGCCCACTCTCTTCACAGCCACATCCCACCATGGGGACCTGCCTCCCTGGCTTTCAGTAAAGGACCCCAGGCCATCCTCTCTCTCTCTCTCTCTCTCTCTCTCTCTCTCTCGACCAGACTCCCCTCTGCTCAAGGCCCACATTGATGTATTGCCCCATTTAATACCACAGCCTCAGTCTTTAGGGAGAAAGGCGTCACGTTTGCTCTTCTGAGAACGGGGCCCAATTCATTCTTGTCCAGGCAGCATAATAAATAACCTGCCCCTGTTGGCAAGGGGTTTATTAGAGACTGATGGGACATTTAACAATAACTGGGGTCTGTGATTTATTAGGTAGGGAGGTTGGTGGCGTCTCTGAAGACTGGGAAGGTGGAATTTAATTGATAAAGCGACTGTCAGCAGCAATGAGATGCACTCAATAGAATATGCATTTGAGGGCTTCTCTTTGGAGCTGTCAGGAAGGGTTTCTACTAATCACATTCAGTTCCTGTAAAGGCGGCGTCTGCTGGATAATCTGGGTGAGACACAAACGGCAGGGAGGGGACTCTGAAAGGGACCTGGGGAAGGGTGCACCTGTCAGTCGCCTGGCCTGATGGAAGAATGTGACACAAATGAGCAGAAGGGAAAAAAGATTTTCATCACCCCCAAGAGAGGTCCCCTTCAAGGCGCCTTTGTTTCTCTTCAATGAGCTCTGCTCAAGAGAGCAAGAGGTACTGAGCACCCGCTTCCTGGAGAAGGAGGGAAAGGCAAGAGTTAAGTGGCAAGAGCGATTTGTTCCAGAATTCTAAACTCCCTAAACCTGAACTATTTGCACCCCCCTGCCTGACTCCCCAGCCACACAGGTACACAACACGCCCCCACACACCACAAGTACCCCACGTCCACACAGCCTTCTCCTGTCACTGCTGCTTTCATGCTAAGGACAGAGTCACAAAAACTCAGATGGCTGGAGCCTCACCTTTTTTACTGTTGTTTCCCAGCTCTGGAGACCCCAGAATCCAGGCTGAGAAACTGGAAATAAATTCTCATGGTCTGGAGTGTGCAGACCGTCCCTTACCTCTTCGGCCCGCCCTCCATCCAGTTGCCTGACAATAAGGGAGCTTGATTTTATCTCCGAGGCCATCCTTGATGGCACCGAGGATGGGTCAGCTCTGTCCTCAGGCAGCCCTGAGCCTTTCCAAGCAGCTCTGCTCACATTCTCTGCTCCCCGCCACCCCTTGGGCTGTTGCTCAGCCTTAAACAAGGCCATGTAAGGCACGAGAGGGGCTCTGAGGCCAGTCCGCTTCCCTCCTTTGATCTTCCCGCTTCTATTCTTAGGTCCCAGGAGACTGATCTGCCTCCTTGTTCTCCCCAGGGAGAGAAAGGGAGGGGGAGGCCATAACCAAGGAAGAAGAAGTAATTGTCAGCGTCTAATCTGAGCCTCAGTGGTGACACTGAGGGACCTCTGAGCAGAATGGATACAGCAACTGGTTTGATTAAATCAAACCTCTCCTGCAATGTTGTTAAATTAAACTGACAGGCCGGGAGCAGATGAGGGCGGGCAGGGGAATCATCGCCTCGGGTGGGGGCAGGGAAGGCCGCGGCTGGGAAGAACATCAGACGGTAGCAGAGCAAGGCCTGTCCTTTCCCTTATTTGCTGACTATAGATAGGAGATGAGATTTATGGATGTGAGAGGCTGAAGTACCTGTCTGAGCACAAGCTGCGAAAGTGACGCACCGGCAAACTGCTGCCTCCCAGGAGGCTCTGCGAATTCCCTTGGCAGTCAGGCCTCACATTTGGAAGAGTGTTCTTGACATTTCAAAGGGCCCTTACCCACTTTATCTGCACAACAAGCAGACAGAGTGAGATTATTTTCCTCACTTTGTAGCCAGTGAAACTCAGGCCTAGGGGGATCACAGAGCCAACTAGTAGGCAGAGACAGGCAGCAGAGCCAGTCCAAGGACCCCAGGTCTCCCGCCTGCCCGTCCTGGCCCGCTCGGCCCCAACATATGCCATATGGCAGAATTTCCCAGGACTCAGTCCCTAAACCACCAGCTCTTCTCCCACCCACCAGAGAAACATAAACCACACATGGGCCATCAGGAAAATGCCAGTCCCCACCTGGCTTGGTGCAGCCCACCTGCAAAGCACACAGCTGGCTTTCAAAGGTCACCAGGCCATCCTAAGGTGTTCATATCACTCTCCCACCAACCCAAGCCCTTCTGAGTCCTTTCCATTCCACCTTCATTACAAGTTGGGCGGCATGGAGTGGGAAATATAATGTTAGCAACATTAGCACACAGTGATAGGAAACGGATAACACTGATACCCTGCTGGCTTCCTCAACTGTCACCCAGTTCCTCACCTGCCAAAGCTAATTTTCCACTCACCAGTGGGTGAGAGCTCATTTCAGAGTGTGGGAGTGACACACACTCATGTACACGCATGGTTACCCAGTGCCATTGCGAACCAAGTAATGCCTCAGCCAGGATGTCCTGTTCTCACTTCCGATGCACCCCAATGATTTGTTTATTGACACCTGCGCCCCTCTCCAATCTGTTTTCAGGGGGATGGGGATGCTGGCAAAGATGGTGCATAGTGATTACCATAGATGCCGTGGATCCCTACCTCCTGCAAAGCAGGCTCATCACACACCAGTTAATGATTAGAACCTGGGACAGGGAGAACAAAGGACAGAGGGAAGTGGAGAGAGGAGCAGACTTTCAACCACTGCCACCATAAAGGAAACTGGAGGAGAGAGAGGGCACGAGGTGGTACCATTTACTTGATGAGGACAGACAACTGGAAATAGTACCCACTAGGGGAGAGTGTGTATGGGCCACACCAGATATGGCCTCACTGTGCTCTTCCCTTTATCACATGATTTTCATCACCATTCTTGACCTGAAAAAGCAAAGAGCAGGTGAGCAGATAGGTCAAAGATACTCCAACAAATTATCACCAGCCTCCTGAGTTCATCATTGGTACTGTGACCGACCACATCCAAACCCAACGACTCCAACCTATCCATCTGAAATCATAGATCTCCAAGGCAAGGAGTTGGATTCCTCTAGAAATACCTGCCAAAGTGTGATGGAAGGAAAAGAGGTCTTGGGTGGGGTGGGGAGAGGAGGGGAAGAAGAGGGAGGATTGCAGGACTTGGGTTCCTATGCTGATTTTTGCTATCAGCAAGCTGGGTGACCTAGGGCAAATCACTCAAAATTTCTGTGCTGCGCTCTCTTGGTTTGTAAAACCACATGCTTGTGTGGGAAATGCAGACTCTCAAACTTTAGAGGTCACAGAGGAGAAAACTGAGACCCAAAGAGGTTAAATTACTTGTCTGAGGCCACACAGTGAGGCAGTGGGGTGACAAGAGAGCATGGGTCCTGAACTGAAGCCAGAGCCTCTGTGTGACCTGAGGGGAGTTCTGGCTCCCCATCCCCTTCCTCATCTGCAGAATGGAGCAATAGGAGTCCTGCTTCTGAGGGCTTGGGAAGAACAGATGAGTGCCTGACACAAGGAAAGCCTTCAACGAATGGTAGCTCGCTCTATTTTTAGTGATAAGACTGGAGGTTCAGACCATAGAGCTTGATTTCGGGTCTTTCCACAAGGTCACAATTCTCTGATTATCTATAAGATCTTTTTCAGCTCCCAAATTCTATGATTCTAAGTCAGAGAGATTAACATGCAAGCTATTTCCAAAACCCTCCAGGCAGAGACACAAAAGACCATTTAGGGGATTCATTATTCACTCTCCATTGCCTTAGTCACTTTCTATGGATGATGATTCATGAGGAATAATCACAGCAAAGAAAACCTGTCCAAATGCAGGGAGGAAGGAGGGCAATAAAAAAAAAAAACCCGAACTGCTTTGCATGTTCAGCTCCTATTCTTTCATTTGTATCTTCATTTGTTAAGTGACAACAGTGTTTCTTAGCCTCATTGCCTTTCCACTCTGGGAACGAGAGGCTCTCTCTTGGTACAGACTGAGTCCCTGCCCACCCCACCCGCATTCCCATGAACCCCCTGGGAGATGGCCCAGCCTCTCTGGCCAAGCAGAACCCCTCACAGAAGCAGCTGTCACCTTTGACACTGGTTCCCCTCAGGATCTCAAGGCTGAGACTTCAACTGGACCCCCAGGCTGATGTCTGGTCAGGGTGAAGACAGTTCTCCAGCACCTGCAAAAGACCAAGGAGATGTTTAGGAGCCAGCCTGGTGGAAGCAAATGTGCAGTAAGCCAAACCCGAAATGTGACCTCTTCTTCTCCTCACCCCATGGCCTCAGGGGGAGAAGCTGGTAGACTTCTTTCTCTCTTGCTGACAAATCTCCCCTTGGCAAGGGGCCAATGCCTGGTCCTTGCTTACAGCTTCCAGAAACTGGTGGAGAGGGCCAAGTTGTGTGTAATAAAACCAGCTTTCGCCCTGAGTTGCAGGCCATGTGAGGTTATAAGGAAGTCAGCACTGGGCCTCCAGGGAGTCAGACATGTCAGAATATCCCCCAGAGAGTACAGGGAGCTGGTCACTTTCCTTCCCAGTTTGCATCAACCAGCATTAGTTTGCACAAATTCCATAAGTACTTCCCTTCACTCTGCCCTGACATTCTTCAGGTGTTCTTTGCAGTTGAAAAATATTTGCTTTTCCAGCCAATGTTTGCAAAATGGAAATGTTTACTTCCCCACAGAAATGAGACCATTGCTTAGGCACCATAAGCACAGGCCCATAACTGCAAATAATTCCTAATAGGGGTGGGGAGCAGCCCATTGACTAACTGCTCAGTATTCAGACTAGTCTAATTTTTCACTTATGATTCCTTCTGAATTGTTCAGGTGACATAGTCCATTCATTCATGGAGTTTTCTCAAACTACTATCCCACTACTGCTTCCTCCAGCACCTTCCTGTGTCCCTCTCTCAAAATTTCAGTGCCCGTAAAACTGAGAACCTGGTCTCAGAGCCCAGGGAATTTGTAAAGAAGTGATGGTTGTGGGAGTAGCATCTAAGTTAGCACTCTGTGTAAGAGTGATGGCTTTTCTGCAGATGGGGAAGTACCAGGACTCACTCCTTCAGTGGCTCATCATCCCAGTAATCCATTTGTCTCCTGCTTTCTGTACAGGAGGGCAGTAGGAAAAGGTTGCCTTGGAAACAGGGAGAGTTTATTATATCACCATAAAGATGAATCTCTTTGGGCCTCAGTTGCTCTGTCTGTAAGCAGGGAGAATGATACTCTATGTTTGAAGACACTGAACGCTAAGGAGCTCCTTATGACTAGAGTCTTTGATTCTGCCACCCAGTCAAAAGAGTTTTTACTTAAATCCCAAAGTGAATCTTTCTTTTGGAACCTAGATAGCTCCCAACATACAGGCCACTTCATCTCTCTGCTGTCTCCCCTGGTGTTGGAATTGAAGAGGCTTCTGTCTAAGGTGGACAGAGGAAGATGTCATGAAAACTGAGAGATTATTTTAAGAAGAGTTAGGCCTCTGTCCAGTTCCTCCCCCACCATCCGAGCATTCACACCAGACACACAGTCTCTGCTCAGCACCTCTGGGCCTGCCTGCCAGGAAAGGTCCTCTGCCTGGAGAGAAATAGTTCCGCAGTGATATCTGAACACATTCCAACAGCACATGTTTATCTCTAGGGTCAGCCTTTCCTGTTGATGCTCAGGAGGCATGGGGGGAGCGGGGAGGGGGATTGGGATAATGGTGTTGGCAGCCACAAGGGGCGGAGGCATGAACGCAATGGGGACACGGACCCCGCCCTTGGGAGGGTGATGTCATAATGAGGTTTCTAGACTGCGTGTGGCCATATATCTCTTTCCTCACATCAGGATGAGCTCCCTGGCTCTTCTGTTGCCAGTGGAGATGAGATAGGCACAGCCTCACTCAGCAGCGCCTCTTCCAGAGCAGGCTAGGACTTGGTGGGTGGAGACGTCCAGGTGGGGAGCATAGGATCTGGAACCAGAAGAATGGCAGTGTTTCCATTGTTTAGTTTAGGATCTGAGCTCTGTCGGGACACAACAGGTTCTGCCTGTCCCTTTGAGTTCAGTCATCAGTGCCAGGACCTTCAGGCTCTGGCAGTGGGGCAGAGGGGACCCCCTTCCCTGAGAGGCTGGGCAAACCACAGGCGTTTTTCACACCCTTAGGAACTGCAGGAGCTACAATTCGCTCCCTAAGTAAGAAAAGTACTTATCCCTACCAGCAGGGGGCAAAACTGAGATACCTTCTGAGGGCTCCACCCCAGCTCTAGACAGCTTTGAGAAAGTACCTTCACATCCAATCTCAACACCTTTGATTTATTCTTTATTTTCCAATGAGGTAATCTCACCTTCCCCCCAGGCTGAGTTTTGGGGGGCAGGAGGGAGGAGGCTGAACCATTTGATTCCTCTTCAACAAAAATGAATCATGTCCCCTATCCCCACACCCCCATCCTCAGCCCAGGAATATTTATCTCTGTTTACACAACCATGGCAACAGGCTCTATTCTCTACTACTTAGGAGGAAAAAGAAAAGTGGAGGGCAGCGCTTTTTCCTATTCCTGTCTCCTGTTCTGCTCAGGTGACAGATCTATCATTTCAGAAATCAGGTAAGACAGAGAGAGCCCTGCATTCTGGTGTAATGTTGTTCTTCTCAGGAACAGGGGAGCAAGAAAACTGCAATGTACTAGGATCATAAAAGCACTCCAGAGCTTGACAGTGATTGTCCTCCAGAATCCTGTGGGAACCACGGTACTAGCACTTCTGACTTGTCTGCAACTCCTCTTCTGAGCACTGCAGTAAGATTATGGTCATTATTTTTTTTTTCTTGCCATAGCTTCGACCTTAAAAGTGGGTGGTGTGCAATCTTTGGCTTTGCTAACTATATTCTTCATCTCTAAGAGGGATTCTTCTTGCCGTGACCACTTCACAAATCATTATCAAAATAGAGTTTTGTAATGAATGTAAAAGTTTTAAATTCACATGTTTAAGCTATAAGTAAGGGAAACAGGCCAGTCAAAGGAAAGCATTTGTCCAAGATCATACTGTGTTATCAACAGTTTGCTGTTCAGTCCGCCCAGTCGCTTCCGATTCTTTGCGACTCCTTGGACTGTAGCACCAGGCCTCCCTGTCCCTCACCAGCTCCAGAAGTTTGCCCAAGTTCATGTCCATAGTCTAGAAGGCCTAATCTACCCAGTCCTGAATTCTTGCCAAAAGATCAGCCTGCATCTCTTGGAGGTTTAACCATAGTCACCCTCCTACTAACTTTCAAGAGGATTCCAATCCATGAGGTCACAGGGATGGAGAAAAATCAGACCTGAAACTTGATTCTCAAGACTATTCAACCACTATGCACAAACTCCATGCCTCCTATAGTTGCCGCTGTATTTGGGTGCTGGAAAGCAAAGCACAACCCTCCCGGTTGGAGAACCATTTTGTGGTGTTTCTCCCCCCTCCCCGCCCTCTCTCGCATAAAGCTTCCCCCTTGGACTAAATGTTAATGGGCAATCCCAGAGGATTCAACTTCAGAACCAGTTCAGCTGGGCTGGAGTACTCAGCTCTGTCCTTGGAGGTGGCTCCCACTCTGAAATTTCCTCGGGTCCTTTCCAAAGGGGCCCCTTGGGGATCTCGACTCAAGACTGCAGGGAAGCCGGAGCGGGCTCTGCGACGCTGAGTGGACTAGCCGGGCCATTCTGGCCGCTGGCTGTAGCGGACCTGGGAGAGCGGAAGGAAATGTATTTTCGAGACTCTCCCAGCCGACGTTGGAAACGCGGCAGCAGATTCTCAGCTCCATCCCGCGGCGGTCGGCTTCTCAGACCCACGCGGGATCCTGGGTAGCGGAGCGCGGGCATCTGAGCTTGGCGATGCCATCCAGACACAGGCTTCGGACCGGGTTTTGACCCGCCTGTGCGTCTTCTTTCTTTTCTCTAGCCAGCGACTACCGCTGCCCAGCTTCATCCAAAGGGGGCACTCGGGGCTAGGCCGAGAACCCTAGATAAGGTCCACTGTAATTGCGAACCCGGGGTTAAGTGGAGGCCATCCCACTGGACTCTGCAGTCTTCACGTCTAAGTATGTTCCTGGCTAACCTCCCTCCTCTTTCGGTCTCATCTCGCCATAGTAAGCAGAAGTGGCGCTCTTTGCTGGCACGGATCGGAATAGCCGAAGCTTCTGTCTTCGCTTTTTGCTCCCTTTCTCGCGTCTTCACACGGTTCTCACTCGGAGACTCCTAAATCTGCCCGGGGCAAATTTCCGCGTTAATTACCTTGAAACAACACGTCTCTGATTGAGCTAATTACTCTCGTGCCCTGCAACACGCCCCCCCCCCCAACCCAGGCCAGGACGCGAGGCACGGTGCCTGGGCACAGGGTGGGAACCGCAGCCCCAACACGCACGGAGCCTGGTGTTGGGGGTCCTGGACTCGGCTGGGAGTAGCGCCCGGGTCGGCCTGCAGGCGCTTCTCCTATTCACCTGCGGCACCTCCACGGGCCAGGGCCTGGCTGGAGCTCGCACACCTCCGGTGCTTGGGCCTAGTCTGTTGTATAGAATCGTGGCATCTTTGAGTTTCCTCTGTCTTCTCCGACTTAACAGAGAGCTTTGCAAGTGGCCCGAGCAAGAATTGGGATAACTGGGGGACAGCAAGGCTTGCTCCTCCACCCTTGCCCACCCTACTGAAAGCAGCCCCTATCCCCTGACCCTATTTTATGTTTTCATAAAGAATCATTACCTGAAATCGCAGTGCCTATTTTTTTTTTAAACCTGTTTGTCTTATTCCATTCCGTCCCGCCGCCCCATGTTCGTTCTTAAAGCTAGAAAGCTTGCACGTCGTATTTAGTATTCGCACGCAGACCTCCAACCCTATTCGGAGTACTAAGTAGAGCCTCCTTTGCTTCGTGTTAAATACGTGAATGGGCCGAGCGGCGGCTCCTCCGCTCCCGGGGTGAGGAGTGGACGGGGAGGACCTTACACTAGGAGGTCAGGTAGGCCCACACTTCCCAAGTCCACTTTTTTGAACAGTTCAGAATTCAAAAGAGCTGCCGAGTGGCATTTGGGGTGGAGGGTGCTCCTTTTCTGATCAGAGTTTGGGAAACTGGGTTGACACTGAGGCACTCAGCTTCTTCCGAGACTGGTACCCAGAGCCCATCCCTAAGTCGGGGCGCTGTCTGTTGGGGGGGGTCACGTAATTTGTTGGGGGGCGTTGGTACAGTCTGGCGTGACGATACCCCGCTCCGCCGCGCGGCCCAGGGGCCAGGTAGGCGTCTCCAGTGCTAGCCTAGGCCCCCAGGAGCGGAGGTGTCCGCCTGGTGCACACACCCGCCCCAGGGTCCACCCGCGGCCGCCCAGCCCGCGCCCCCTGTGCGCTCTCCTCATTGGCTGAAGGCGTCCCCCTGAGTTCTCATAGGCTGTCCCACTTTTCCCTCCGCCCCCAGCACGGACCGCGCGCAGCTAGCGGAGGGGGGAAGTGGCTCCAAGTCCAGACCTGGGAGCCGAGCCTCCGCTCTGTGCTGCGAGAGGCGCGGAGCGCAGGCTGTCCGGAACGCCGGTTCAGTGAGACCAGCGATCCCACCCCGGGACTCTCTCGTGGAGCCGAGCCCGGCCAATGGGCGCATGAGGTAGAAGAGCAGGGAAATGGACTGCTATTTACGCCGCCTAAAACAGGAGCTGGTAAGAGCGGAGCGGGCGCCGGGGTGCGGGAGGGCTGCTCTGCCCCGAAGGGTACCTACCTGGCTGGGGCGGAGGAGGTCCGGAGAGGAGAGGAGGCGACGCAGCTAGCAGGCGGCGGACAGGACCTGTCCTGGGGGAAAAGGGCTACGAGCAAACTTGTGTGAGAGGGAAGCAGTCAGGAACCAGTGAGAGGGACCGAGAGCCAAGCCAGCTCCGACCGAAGTGCGTCCTGAGATCCCGAGGGAGCAAAGAGGGCGCACCCGGGACGCGGATGCCGGGCTGCGGGTGCCGCACGGGGCCGCGGGGAGCCGGGAGGAGGGTGCGCGGCCCCAACCCTGTCCGGGGCAGGAGGTCGGCCGGGGACTGCTTGCTTGAGAGGAGCTGGCACCGCCGCCCCCACCCCAACCCCCCAGCCCTGGCGGCCGGGCTTGGCAGGGCTGGCGCGGCTGCGGGGGCAGGCCCGGCCGGCTGTCTGCCTGGGCTTGCCTGCCAGCGGGGAGGGGGCTGGCAGCTGGACCCGCGGGGGAGGGCCCGGCGCGGGAGGAGGGGCGCCGCCTGGCAGCTCGCGAGCGGGAGAGCGGAGGCCCAGCCAGATGTCAGGTCTGGGCTTGGGGAGTGCGGAGCGAGCGTGCAGAGGACGGGCTGCGGGGGCTGGAAGTAGTGGCACCGTCTGGGGGAGAGAGGAGCGGGGATGGCAATCGCGCAAGGGGGAGAGGAGCGCCCCGCTGAAACTCAGTTGTGGGGCGGCACGTTGCTTCTCACCCACTTCCTATCCCACCCCCTCACACCTGCCACCTCTCTTGTTCTTTCCACCACCAGAATTCAGATAGATATTACGGACGTCCCCGGCATCTGGGCCCCCACGCCCATCCCTGTCAACCAAGCTCTCCTGGGGCCTTGCCTCCGTCTCTTTTTGTCCCTTTTAGTCTGTTTCTCTTGGAGTCGACCTTTTTTCGGTCTCACTTTTCTCCCTTCCCTTTTTTTCTTACTCTTCAGAGCCAGGGGCATCCAGGCTCACGACAACAGACCTGGATCCAGAAAGTGTCAACCCGTGGCTCTCCAGAGCCCAGGACAGCCTCTCGCACTCTCCACACTGAGGAGGGAACTTGACAGTTGTATCAGGGGCCAGCTTGGGGAGGAGGGGGAGCTTATAGCAGCAGGTGTCCCTTTTGATTCTTCATGGTCAAGTGGCCCAGGCACTCTTTCTGTCTGTCCCACTCCAGGCCTGCCTTCTCAGGTCAGTGGTCATTTCTCTGGGACTTCATTCTGAAGCCCTTTTTGTGGTGACCCTCAGATGGGAACTTTAACTAGAGGACTGCTTCTTAGATGAGGGACAGAAGAGTCTCCATCATGTCCCTTCCCATGATCATTTTCTCATGCTTTCCATGTCAGTTTGGGATGGCTGGTCCCAGCCCACACATACACAATTCTGACTTTTCCCATTCCTTTGTCCAATACCAGAGAGAAAGGTCAAGGTCACCAAGAGGATGTCTGAAGTCCAAGACTCAAGTCAAGAAAAGAATCTAACAGAATCCTCTTTTTTTTTGCTTGAAATCTGGGACCACACCACCCACCTCAGGATCTGCCTTAATAGAGGGTTTGTGGGTGTTCCTGGCATGGGCTTGAATTTTAAAATCCCACTGATTTGCATTTTTTACAGCACCCTAGGTGGGAGGTGGTGAGGGGAGGAAGACAGCCTGTGGATGCCAGGAGAATAAAAGAGGCAGCAGGAATCTGAACAGAGCTGAGCTCCAGGTCTTGATTTGCACCCTCTCCTGCCAAGGACTTGAGCCCCAGTCTCCGGGAGGAGGAAGGGGAGAGGCTGAAGTCACCCAGCTCCCCGTTAGCTTTCATTTGGCCCTTTGTCTGAGCAGCTTCAGCCTTTGCCTCTCTTGGAGAGGAAGCCAAATGCCTGGCCTGGGGCCCAGAATGACACTCAGATGGGAGAACTCTGCACCCTCCTCCACCCATGGTGTTCCGCCCCCTCCCCAGTGCCAGTTTGCCCAGAAAGGAGACCAAGTAGAGTGACAGGCAGAGCTATCAGAGTCTTGTTCCCTCCCTGACGCCTCAGCCCAGGGCTTAGGTAACAGAGCCAAATCGCAGTTCCTCTGTTTTCCCAATGGGAGTGAAGGAGAA